CCTTCACATTCAGGTGAAACCTCTTCCAATTCTCCTTGCCTTTTAGTTGGGTGTGCAGGTAGAAATGCTACCACACTTGCTCTTTTGCTGACTTTAATCACCCATGCATCCTTGCTGCTGGCCAAGTGAGCTGTCAGCCTAGTTGTGACGGATGGCAATGGACTCGCACCTTCCTTCAATGGGAAATGAAGCTAATCAGAGCCTGGACACCTTAATCTGATTTGGGTCTGATTGATGCCCTGCAGACTCTGAACTCATCAGTGCTGCTGGCATCTATCACTGACTGGTGCCCGCCCCTTCCAGCCAGCTCTTCTATTCTGTCTTGAGCCTTGCCTAGACCCCTTGCCCTAGTCTTAGGCCCAGCTCTTCTACTGCAAGAGGAGATTGTGGGATTTCCAGGGCACCTGGTCCCAGCTGGGGTTTCCTGGACTCAGATCTACTGATAACATTAAATAGGAAGACCTGTGCTATGGCTTATCCTAGCACCTGGCCAATTAGACATTGGCGGTAGATTTAATCCTCAGCAAATGCAGATCAACCAATCTCCAGTGGATTTATAGTCATGTGTGTGACCAAAGAATGTCCTGCAGAGATAGCTAATGTGGTGCTATCCAAATATTGCTGGACTACATCTCTCATCATTCCTGACCAGTGGCCATGATGGCTGTAGCTATTGGGAATCAGAGTCCAATAACAAGTGTAGCACGCCACGTGGGCTACCCTGTCAGAGTTCCCTGTTTGGCATTGCAGAGTAGGAATGATGGACATACTCTTTTTCTCTGGGAGGTTTGCCTAATCGTTGCTTGGAGCCTTACAGTATGAACTTGTACAGCTTTAGCTTCTGCCTTTTAGGATTGTGTCTGCCACTCACCCCTCCCCATTGCCCTGGACTTTTAAAGACAGCATGTTAAAGTTAATTGTCAAGCAGAGAAATGTTGGCTATGAAATCAGGTGGCCACTGGAATGAGTTGCTCTATGAATGATTCCCTTAGGGATCTTCCAGCTTCCAAACTGCCCTCCCAATTAATATTATTGTACGCAGCGCTATATTTCTAGAAAAAGAGGTGCTGGAACTCACCATGAATGCCTCCCTTTTTCTCTTATAATGGCGACAGCGCCCACCTGAGAGGGGCCAGAACTGAGTTCCAGCTGGAAAAAACTGTGGTTGTATGAAACTGCCATCTCTGAGTGCTCCAAGATTACAGGGTTTCCAGGACCACTTACCCAGGGTTTGTGTTTCCTTTTGGAAATGAGACCCAGCAGAGACTGTCTTTATCGTTTATTTGTGCATATATACAACCTGAGCCTACAATGGAGGGGTTTCACAGCATAATCACCCCAAGAGGGTCTTGCTTCTCCCATAAATACAGCCCGGGATTTCAATAGACATAAACCATCATGCTCTGCCTGCTATTTTTCTTCTTACTTCTTTTGCCTCCCACTTTTGGCTCACATAACTCACAACTCCTTACTCAAAGCTCTGGCTTTATCTGTTGAGGAAGGGGCTGGCTGAAGGCAGATGAAGGCTGGTGGGGTATTCCCCCATTCACTCTAACGGACCAGCCTCCGCTGCTGATCGCTTTCCACATTATTTTCCATTCTCTCCAGTTTTCCCACTGAGACATAATCAGCAAGGCCTTCCTTTGCTGTTTAAAGAGATCCTTCATGCAGAGCAAACTGTTGACTTTAGATTGACGCTGGGGATCATTAACCTTTGATCCAACCACTTCTCTCCCTTGAAGGAAAAAAATGTGTATATGAAATGCTAAATTACCCCCAGGAGAGATAAGGATAAAATTAATTGTTTGTCTGATTCCTGTTGTTATGAAGAGCTTGTTTCCCCAAATGTTTATGGCCTTGGCCAGTGGCAGGAGACAGGGAGGGAAATGTTGGTTTAAAGCCAGCTTGGATTTTTCCCACTGTGAGGGGCCATAGAAAATATTTTGCACCTCCATGTAGGTTGAATTCTACCAAATGACTCCCTGCTCCCTTTTTAACAAGCATTTTCCTGCTAGTTTCCATTCTGCACTTCACAGAAAGTGACATACTGGGAAGTGACAGCATGGAACCAGTGAGACTTCCTTGCTCATTGGCCACCATCTCTAAAGAAATTGTGAACTCATTCATAGGTGTATCCACCACCTTTATCTAAAGCCTAAATACAGTTGGTCTAAAGCGATTGACAATCCATTAAGTGTCACTTCACACATTATGGTTTTAGGGAGAATACACAAAGCATTTAGGTGCACCCATAAAACTTTAATATGCAGGTGGCAATTGGGTTTTTCAGCCATGTGTACAGTTTATGTTGGAAGCTTTTGGATGGAATTCAGCTTTGCACTGGAGGCTGATGTGTCTGCAGTGGGAAAGATTAGATAGTGAGAGGAACTTCCAAGTTTCCTAAACGTTTTTTAGGAACAAACCCGCATTGACTTTCCCTCAAGTTCTAGACTGATGCACTGAGGGTTGCTGATCTCATTTCAGTCCCTCCCTCATTTTGTCTCTAAAAGCTTCTCAAGATAAGTTGCACACAGATAGTGAAATTACTCTGCTGAAATAGGTATTTGCATTCTTACAAAAGTAAGAAGAGGAAGGATAAATAAAATATCCTACGCATCTAAAACCATCCAATACATAGAAAATTGATAATAAATTATGCTAAGTATTAAACTGTTCAGACATTACCTTCACCCGATACGAATATGCCAATAAGGTTAAAATAAGAAGCAATATGAGTGAAACATGAAACACATTGATATAAAATTAAACTTCCACTTTTGAATAGCAGCACCATATTTAATTTTTAACTCCCAATAAATAGGAGCTTAAAAGGAATATTACATGAAATTTAGTGTGTTCAACTGTCCTTCATTGCTCTTCCAAAAGATTCCACGCATCCTTCACATAAGGACTAGAAACTTAGAAAGGGAAGGGAAAGGATATCAAAAGAAAGCTGAATTGTTCGGGGCTTCCTGCAAAGTCTGATATACAAAACAGGTGAGGACACCTATAGGTCATCCCGCAACCGGCTCCAGGATTTCAGACGGGGGATAGGTGGGGAAAAGGCAAGTATAGGCTTTGAAGAAGGCAAAAATGACTGTTCACGACCTAATATAACGATGATCTCAATGTATTTACTATATTATTACCCCAAACTGGGCGGAGAGTCCCGGGACTAATGATTGCTAACCGATTGCTAGTTGGTGTGTTTAGCTGGCAACCGCGATTAAAATCTTGATTTTATACACTCTTCGATGCTCTCTATAAATATAAATGTAAGACAAATGATGGAAGTCCTTTCGGCAAACAGGACAGAATGCGATTCTGCGAAACTGAAAAATTAGAAAGAAAGTAACCCCTGCCCTTGTTAAACTGCAAACAGATTGAATCAATAGTAACAGTTATAAAATAAAGCAATGCACTGGAATTCACCACCGATTTATTGTATTAAGATCTTGCTTACTCGGAAGTAAGTCCCATTGTGTCCAATGAGAACAGGACATTGCTGCTTCAGTGGCAACTATATGGGGGGCAATATGAATTTAGGGGTGATTATATAATTAATATTCCAATGATAATGGAATCTCATTGGGCATCATGGACAAATTTATTTCTTAATATTGATTCATTATTATGTGATTGGGGTTCTGTGGGAGTCATGTGTTGTAAATTTAACATTTCAATATAAAATGCATGTGCTGTGAAGAATGCTTCTTTCGGTTCTGAGCTCTAGGAAGGGTACAAGTCCAACGGAGTAATACAGCACATAAATAAATAGTTTTATTTAATATCAGGCACCCGAAGGACTCTGGGCGCGGAATAGCTATCAATCAATCATCTTGGCAAATAGAAGACACATTTTAGTTTTATAGTATGAAATGCATTTGAGTTGACATCTCTTCTCCCAGAAGTGGGGAAAAGGATCCACTTTCTTTTTTTCTGCTGGGACTTCAGAACTGGGCTAGTGGGCTGTGCCCTGCCCCCAACACCTGCCTCCTTCCTGCTTCCTCCGGTGTTCGCATCCGCAGAGAGTCAAGACCATTGGGGAACCGGCTGCTTCATCTTGGGAGTGTCACTGAGCGTTTTCTAGAGGCAATGGAGAACACAAGTTGGTTATCTGCGTGTTCCTAATCTGCCACCAAATTAAGCAAAAAACGTAAAAAGCTTTGCTCTGTGGTTGTGGAACCAGTTTAAATTGGTAGTTTTTTGGGGGGGGGGCAAACAGAGCTCTTCATCAGAAGGAACAGGGCCGGTTTATGCGCAGAATTAGGGTCCCATGAGACTGAGATTATTGTGTCTTTCTCTTATAAAGGAACATTTACAGACCTCCCCAGGGGTACAAGGGCGCCCCTCGGTTTAGTTCTAGCAACCGGGACAACAGTTCTTGAGTATAATACTGTGGCCACATGTCAAAGAATTAGCCTCTGTCCTAAAAAGGCTTTGCAGAAGGCTGGGGGGGGGGGCGGCTACTGTAGCTTTGCAATATAAGCCCACAAGTTACTAGTTCTCAGCATGTATTGTCAACCAGTGCAGGAGGATTGGCCCCTATTTTCCAGCTGAACAGCTGAAAAACCAGGGTGATCTCCATGTTACCCTGTGAAAGGGGCCGCGATGGTTCTCAAGACCGTATCCTCTGAAAGCAGCCACCGCTATTTCTGTAAGCCTTGCAGTGGTGTCCAAACTTTTTTCAAAGAGGGCCAGGACCGTGAGGGCCGACCAAAGGACCAACCAAAGTTGTTAACCTTTTATAAGGATTGAAGTTGTTGGGCTTTTTTAATGGTTGAAGTTGAGGGTTTTTTTAAGGATTTTACCCCAGGAAATAAAATGCCACAGAGGCCGGATTAAAGAGACTGGCGGGCCGGATTAGGCCCCCGAAACGGACTTTGGACATGCCTGAAGGGTTCTGCAGTAAATGCACTGGGTGTGAGCGCTCCCTCTTCTAAAGAAGCCTACCCTTTTATTCAGGCTACTTCAGAACTGCCTTCCAAAGTGTGCTATTCATGACTTGGGCAGCAGATCCTGATCCGCAGCGGTATGGACAAAAGGGCCGGGAGCCAATAGACAGGTGGGGAGGAGATTTCAAACAATTGCCTCGCGTGTCAGGCGAGATCGGAGGCGGGAGGGAAAGGAGGAGCGACCGAGGAGAAGTGGCTCCAGAGGAGGGGGCGAGCAGGTGCGCGTGCAGGAGCGAAAGCCTTTCCAAGCCTCCGACCCAGCGCGAGAAGGAGCTTGGAGTCTGCCTGGCCGCTGAGAGGAGGAGATCTCGCCCTTGCGACGGCGTGCCGAAGGGGCTTGCCGCTTTCCCCAAAGGCTCCTGGGGAGAGGGGGCCATGATGCAGAAGGCCATGGAGAAATCTCAAAGCTTCCGCATAGACGCCCTCCTGGCTGAGGAGCCCCCGCGACCCGCGCAGAGTGCTTCCCCCGAAAGCTCGACGGGGAGCCCGGGCTCCTGCGCGCGGAACGAGACGCCCTCGCCGTGCGCGCCCTCCATGGTGGCCCCGTTGCCTCCTGCCGCCTTCATCCCCAAGCCCGGCTTGTTGAACTTTCCCCCTCCGGGACTGGGCGGCCTGCCCGCCATGTACCCGCCCCCTCTCTACCCGATCTCGGCTCTGGCCAGCCAGCACCCTGCTTTCGCTTACAGCGCCGCCTTCCCCCACCTGCCTCAGCCGGGTCCGGAGCACTTCAAGGCGTCCGCCGTCGCCGGGGCCGTCCCGCTGGAGCACTGGATTCGCGCGGGGATCATGGCCCCCCGCTTTCCCGATTTCCACGGTGAGTAAGACCCCAGCTCCGGAGCCTCCGGTAGCCGGGAGGACACCGTGCGCCCAGGGCGCATGGCGAAAGTCTCTCCAGGGCCACTGGTGGAGCCCAATAAGCTACGCCCGGGAAAAGAAACACATTCCGGTATATAGCGCGATCTTCCTTAACTGCGCGTTTCCTCTTGATCCATTTCTACTTCTGGAGGGGTCAGTTTCTGCTTCTCGGTTGGGCAGGTAGTAGGAGCGCGCGGAAAAGGTCATGGCATCTTGCGAAGACGTTATTTAAAAGCGAAAGAGGCTAAAAACGACACACACATCCATCAAAACAAAAACTGTAGGTAAAGATTGCAGGGTGTGCAGTGGCAATCACTGTCATTGTGGCTGTGGACAGTAATCACTGTCACAAGATGTGGCTCTCGCCGCTGGCTTACCAGGTGGTTAAAAGGATACGAGTCCGTCCTCGGCTCCTAGTCACGATGGCTGCGTGCTTCTGAATGACACTTTCTGGAAGGCGATTTCCTTCCCAGAAGCGTCTGGTGAAGTGCTGTGGGCACTTAGGGTGCTGAACGGCGGGACTTTGATCCGATCCTACAGGACTCGACAAATGGGTTAAGTCCATCACAGCATCCCCACCTGCCCTCACGCGCTGCTTATCAAAACCGAGCTTCAGCCTCTACCATTTGAGGCATGAATTGCCCACAGTCGTGGATTCTGTTTATAGTTTAAGCTAGCTTAGGGGGGGGGAAAGTAAGCTGGTTTTTCATGTAGTTTAGCAAAATTATTAGTCGCACCTGTGGCGTGCACGCCTAGAGTACTTGTACCCCGGATTTGTTATTTGAACCCATAGTGCTCTCCCAATAACGTCCTGATAAGAACGGAATATTTATATAAACTTTTGGGATGTATTTTCCCCCGACCAATTTTACCTAGTGAAAAGACTGGTATCTGTGTCCTCCCCCCCCCCATAAAAAGTTCTTAACAGATATTTTGAAACGTTTAACATCCTCCTTCATCGCAACCTAATCTAAATGACACATGTTAGCTCTTCCTAGCTTTAAAAAATGGTTATTGAAAGAAATACACTTGGAGACACCTTTTAATGGTAAGAGCAATTCGACACTGGAGCCAATTGTCATGGAGAGGGGAAAACGGGGGCTTTTCCTTCGTGAAGTCTTCGAGCTGGGCGCTTCCGCCATCTGTTGGAGGTGCTCTAACTCTAGGTTCCTGTTTTGAGCTGGCAGTTAGACTAGGTGACCCCCAAAGCCCCCATCAGCGTGACGTTCAGCCTGCTCTTATGTGTTCCTGTTGCTCAAAACCAAACCACACTGCATTCAGTGAGGCTGATTCCCAAGTAAGCCTTCGCAGATTTAATGCTTAGCTTTTTTCCCTACAATATCGTCCCACGACTTCTACATCCCAGTTAAGCAGAAGTGTCTAAGACATGAAAGTGATTTAAACTGTGGTTCCAGGAATCTTGCTTTGGAGAGAAGTGAAGAAAAAAGGGAATTGCTGTCAAGAAAAAAGGGAATAACGGTGCACTCCTCCTGCACATCCCTACTCGAAAGTAAACCCCATTAAATTCAACGAGGCTTCTTCCCCGGGGAATGTGTATAGGATTGCAGCCTAAGGCCAGAATTCTGGTCTCTTAAAAAAGGAGCATTGAGTCAGATTTTAGAATGGGCGGGTTAATGGCAGTCTTCAGAGGCTGTTAAAGATTAACCTGGAACCTCATGGTGAAGATAGGGTAAGCAATCTTACAAATAAAATTAAATAATAAATTGGGAGGGGAACTCAGGTGTACTTAGAGTAGTTGTTGACATTACTTTAAAATACTATTAAAAACCTTAAAAACAAAGCAAACCACCTCATTAGCAACAACGCCTTGAACTCTCTCGCGCGCTCACGGAGAGTCATTTGTTTCTGACACTTCTACAAATAGAAAAATAAGAATTTGAAGGAGAAGGCTAGGCTAAAATCTTTTTTTCCTGACATCAAGTTTGATATGGGAAGGGAACGGCTTGTCATAAGAAGCATGCAGTCGTACCTGTCGGAATGGGTAGTTGGAAATGGTACAGTCCAGAGGTAAGTTTGGGCATAACCATCCCATCTGATGCTTGAGAGAACTAGGCATATATTTCCGGCTACGTTACTGAACCTGCCCCCCAAGTACGTGCGTGCGTGTGTGTGTGTGTGTGTGTGTGTGTGTGTGTCGTTCTGGGACAGTGTTTAATTATGTGAGTCCTCACTCTGTGTAATGTGGTAGTGCCCAGAGGAAAATTTACTACCCGCTTCTATTGTTGTGATAACTAGGTCTGACTGCTCCTGAATGAAAATAGCCAGCTGTCTTAAAGTGGTTGGTTGGAGAGGGCGGAATGTTCTTTGCCTTCCGTAGGGGCCTTCTCTGGTCCTCAGCGCATTTTACGGTGCAGTCCTAGACGTGTCTAGGCAGTGGCAAGCCCCACTGAATTCAAGAGGGCTTACTCCCCCATAGTAATATTTTGATCCTAAAGACTACATTTAGGCAACTGGAAGTCGAACACCCCGCTTTTGGTATTTATTCCTGCCGATGGATGGAATGTGCTTTGCTTAAATCGCTCCAGACACCGCTTCGAATGCACAGTCTATGTTTGGGAGTGCTTCATACCCGAGCGCCTTTTTGCCTAGGAGACAGAGAGGGGAGCTATGAAGGAGCCTGGAATCGACTAGGGTAAGACTCCAGGCTTCCCCGCGGCAGGATTCACCTGTTCAGAGGCATTAGGCAACTGCGGTTGTGATATTTTATTGCACCCAAACTTGGCTCTAAGGCATAGTGACGGGGTGGGGTGGGGGCAGAGCTGAGCTGAGCCAAGCCCCCTCTGGAGCCCTGCTGTCCTGCCGGCAAGTTTTCCCACATCAATCACTCGACCCCGGGCAGGGGAAGTTGTAAAAGGTTTTGAACTTTAATCCGCCCAAGGTCTCCGGGTACTTAGGCTGGAGCTGGCGGAGGGCTGGTGCAGTTAATTTGTTACCAACGGCGGAGAAAAAAAGAATGTCTCTGTCTTGTCAGCTGGAAGCAGGCGACGCAGACAAGCGAAGAAAGAAAGAGGCAGCTTTTGCGTGTGTGTTATTTTGCGCTGTTTCTTCATCTTCTAGGCTCTTTTTCTCGGAATGCAGCTTACAAGTGTGTGAGATGGGTGGTGATGGCTATCCCCGCCCCATCTAAATAGTTGGTGTGAAAGAGTGTGAAAGAGACATTCCGTATTCCTTATCGGAGATTTTTAAGATGCCGATTGCAAAGCTATCCAGCTTCATTCTGACCACTGGCTTCTCTTTAAACACCTAGGCGATTTTATAATGCTTCCTAACTGGCTGAGAGGCTAAGTGTTCCATCATTCACATTTCAGAAAGTCTGCTATACAAAAGAAATCGAATCCTCGCAGTTTCGAAAAAAATTAAGTTGCCCTTCAGTAAAGAACGGGGCGGGGGGAGGTGTTGCCAGCGTCTGGTCGCCAAGAGCCAAATGAGAAAGCAACGGGGATTTCCATTGAAGAAAAGCAGCAGCAGCGACTAAACACCTTGATAAACCTCGTTTAAACACTGAATCGGTTATCAACTGAAAAGCATTCCTTATTAATTGTGCAGTGGATTAATAAAACATATTGACAGGTCCATCAATTAATACGTCGGTCGATATTAACGTTACACTGTTTCACTTTCAACGGTAGTATTTTAACTGCATTTAATAGGGCGGTGCATTTAGTTATGATTGCGAATGGTTTAAAATTCTGTGCTCGATCTCAACATAGAAAAAAACCCCATGCCCCTAAAATTTGTCTTCAGGTAGTAAGATAGATATGCCCCAAATATCAGTCTTCTATCCCTTAAAATTGGAGATCAGTTGATCCAGTATCTCAATAAACCACTTTGATTTCCTGTCTCTCTCTCTCTCTCTCTCTCTCTCTCTCTCTCTCTCTCTCTCTCTCCCCATCTCATTCCTTTACATTTTCAATTATTATTTTCTGGAGAATTTTTATGGTGTCCTTTAAAACACACACATGAATACTCCAGATTCTTGTAGCAGGACAGGAAGGAAAGGTTGCAGTCAGTTGTCAGATGACAGGGTTTGTGGCTGCAAGGGATGAGCGCATGCTACCTGAGCCCCCCAATGGAGCTGGGATGCCAAGAGGGGTAGCCTTATGCGAGAGGGAGCCGGTGGTGCTGGTGGTTCTGCTCTCAGTTCTAACTCATTGTGTTTGTGGCTCGCTATGTCGCTTGCCACAGACAGCAGACAGAAAGCAACATTAACTGTGCAGTCCTATGTGGGTTTACGTAAAATGTATGTTTCCTCGAATTCAACTAGGATTACTTCCAGGTAGGGAGGTTGAGGGTCGTCCTGTCAGGCTGAAAACACAGTGGGACTTACTTCTAACTCGGTATAAGAGAACCTGGCCACTAAACCTGCAGCTCAAATCTTTAATCTCTCAGAGGTCAATAGCCCTTGGTCCCCTGGACTGTGGGAGCTGATCGGGACGGGGATGTGGTGGTGGTGACTGTCCTGCCATCATGGTCTCTGGATCCCCAGGTTAGCTGGGTGGCGCTTGCGATTGCCCTCCTTCGTTCTACCAGCTCTTATTTGCAACGATTTAAATCACAGAGATGGTCTTGAGTTTACAAAACCAGGTTCATCACTCGGTTGGCAACACGGGCGTCTACGTGGCAACCGGCAGGAGCATTGACTGGCGTCGCCTCAAACTCAGTGGTTTCAGCTTGAGGCAGTTCACACGTTCAGCTGTGACAGCGAGCGAAGCACCTGCCGTGCACGTGTGAATGAATGGGCCCTTTGGGGGCATGAAAAGGTGAACGGCTTCTTGCCCTTTTTGGGGGATTATTTTTATCTGCCTGGACATTTGGGTAGCGTCCCGGATCTTGCGCATGCCGCTTTAGATTATCTGGTCATGCAAAATAACCAAAGCTAACCAAAGATAATGGCCAGGGCTTATCGGCCGATCTGTTCCCACTCTTTCCAAGCGGGAACGTGACGGGTGGTGGTGTTGGAGGGTCCCAGAGCTGGAGACCTGGAGGAAGAGGAAGAGGTGACAGCGTAGTTCCGCAGCTGCCACTTCCCATCAGAGGAAATTGTTCCCGGAGCAATTGTCCTGCTCCAGCGCGCAAGGACAAGCCTCGTTTCACGCCTTGTTCGCCGGTCAACGACGCGAGACGAGTGTCTGCGGCTTATTGCATTAAAGGAGTAAGACCCGGCAGAAGACTGGTTAGGTAGCCAACCAGCCAACTACAAAGAGCTTTCAGGGGCGAACGAACCGCCGAGATCTGGCAACGGCGCAGTTAGGCAATCTTCGATTCTAGAGCCGCCTTGCCAACCTGTAGCCTCCATCTCTGGTCATCCTTGCGCATATCTCCGCGCTTGCGAGTCTCGTTCGCAAGCGCAGAGAATAACTCAACGAGGGAAAGAGAAGAAAGAGCTTTGACAGGGAGCTCTAGCCATGTGATTGCCATGCACGTGTGACTGGGCCATTTGACAACTCGGTCATGTAATGGACAACCACAACTTTCCGAGATGGTCGCTCGATCAACTGAAAGTCGCATCCGCGCGGGTTATCTTCTGCCTCAGAGAGGATGGTCAAAGCCTCAGTCTTGGCCCGGTTCTTACTGCCCCCAATGATGTAGCTATGGAATTGGGAGATGCTCCTCATCACCTGGAAACAAACAGGAAGACATTCCGACTCTTTGCCCTTTGAATGCCTATGGTAATATCCTACTAATTCATACTCGGAGTACACTTAGCGAAATCAACGGACGTTAGGTTAGTTACTTAGAACTACCGTTGGGTATTACCCCGGAAAGGAGACTCCATTTATTCTGCACTTTGGGGGGGCATATTCATTCATACACGCAAGCCACTATTTTAAAGCTGCACTTAGGGAGCAAGGTGCGCGTGTGTGAAAACGCCATCAGTGTGAGCAGTAAGGCATCGCTAAGGTTCTCGTGAACTCCATGATATTTGCCGCTTCTGGATAAAGGCGCTTAGGAAGGCCACCCTGTACAGTGGTACCTCGGGTTACATACGCTTCGGGTTACATACGCTTCAGGTTACACACTCCGCTAACCCAGAAATAGTGCTTCAGGTTAAGAACTTTGCTTCAGGGTAAGAACAGAAATCGGGCTCCAGCGGCGCGGCAGCAGCAGGAGGCCCCATTAGCTAAAGTGGGTGCTTCAGGTTAAGAACAGTTTCAGGTTAAAAACAGACCTCCGGAACGAATTAAGTACTTAACCAGAGGTACCACTGTACACGTTTGCTCAGAAGTAAGTCCCACACTTAATCTGTGGTCTGTCTGTCTCAATAGCTGTACGACATCGGGGAAAAGATTGGAGAACAGGTCCCAATACTGTATACTGTGCTTAAAATCTACCGTCAATGAAGGGAGAGTCCACAACCTTCTAAGGGAGACCGTTCCCCTGTCAAACAATTCTTACTGTCAGAAAGTTCTTCCTGGTATTTAGTAAGACTCTGAACACTCCAAGGATATTTAAAGTCCCTCTGAACTCAATATGCAGCTTTCTTTCTTTCTAGACCTTTTGTGCATCCGTGTCGTGTCATCATACCGCAGCTCCACTCCAGCAGATGTGCGCCATTTTTAAAAAAAATCGTCTCATTTTTACTTTACTTAAATTAACAAAAAATACAAAAAAAGCAATATCCAGCAGCGTAACTGAGCTACGTGCCTTTCAGCTGCAGATCCACGTGTGCGCCGATTCCCCCTTTCCCCCAGTTAGGATTAGCTCTGTCTCTGCAGCTGTGCTGGCTCTAACCCAAACGGTGTCTCTTCCTCAAACACGAAGGGAAAAAAGGGAAAAGAAAGAAAATGTGGGTGGTTTTGAAGAGGCTGTGCATTAGGGGCTTCCGTACATTAAGGTTGAATGCACCCATCAATCGCTCCCTTGATTTAATATGGTCATTAATTGTGATTTTAAAATGGGAAGTTTATTCCCATCCTAAACTGCGTCATCTGCGTAGCTACGGGCATCCTTGTCAACAATCAACCTTGGGAGGCTAGCAAATCAGTTAGCTGATGGATTCCTGCCGCCGCCGCCCCGGCCAAAACCTGCGTATTAATTACTTCATTATAAACGCCGCAGCCGGTGCGGTTTTAAAGCGGCTCTGGGTCGCTTGTGTTGCTGAATGGTCTTCCGGGCGACCTTGTCATCCGGATTTGTTTGCCTGGACCTAGCCTCAAGGAATTGTTGTCCAAGGCTTTCCAGTGCAATTCCCGACCCCCTTCATATCCCCTGAAATCCGATTTGGGGGGCGGACGAAAGGAGGCGAAGCAGGCTTGTCTCAAGAGCGCCAAATCAACGTCAGTTGTGCAACCTGGACTTGCCAGCCTGTGGCTGCGTGCACGCGAGACCTTTAAAGCACATTCGAAGCGCATTTCTCTCTCTTGGAAGTGAGCCCTGGTTCGGTTGAATCAATGGGACTTACTCGCCAGTAAATGTGCATCGGATGGATCGCGTTGCTCGTCAGGAGATAAGGCTTTCTTCGCTAAGAAAATGACCTCGTCAAGGTCCCCCTTGGGCAGATTCCTGAAGCGTAGCTCCCTCCCTCCTCACCCGCACAAACAGGAAAGGACGGAAGCGCAGGAGGTTTGTCCTCAAGGCGCTCAGCTGTGCTTCCGTGGTTTCCCAGCGCGAAAGGATCGGGAGCGAATCAAACGCAGTTTTCAGAAGTGTTTGACTGCAAGGAGATGGGGGTGGGGACGACGACGACGACACGACGTCCGTAAACTGTGAGCATATAATCACACTGTTGTTGTCTTTGAAGTGCCCAAAGGAGAAGCTATGCAAGGAGTATGAACCGTGTGCAAATCCATAGCGCAATCCCATGTTGCGTTTCTAACACCTCTATTTCTCTCTCTCTCTCTCTATCTCTATCTCTCTCCACACACCCACCCACCCACCCACCAAGTTTTCGTGTTGGATTGATATACCGGTAGTTATACGTATTTACTTACATACTTACTTACTTACTTACTTATTTCTGTATTGTTTTGCTCAGCCTCTTTGGCAGCTAGCAGCAGGGGAAACTGTGGGCATGCATGTATCCATAGGCCTCTCCTGAAAATATGCACCCCAAATTTCCAGTTTCAAAGCAAACAAGACCTAGATCCGTATCTAAGGCACGCGCCATCCCCAACTCGGATACGTTCCGTGGAGAGAGCAGCAGTGAAGCCCGATTGGCTCCTATGAATTACAACTTGGTAAAGCGAAGCCCGTGCCTGACTGTCTCATTCGGTTTGGCTGCACTGTGCCGAATGTTGTGGGCTGTTCTGTCATCAAGTCCTCGCCCCTGTTCTGATCTTCCAAGATAATCCAATTCAGGGAATATGAGTGTTTCATTGCCCAGTACCATTTCTCCGCAACATATCTGCTGCTGGGCTCTTCGACTCTGATATGTTAACGCCACATGCCTCCCCGGATTACCCTTCTCTAGGCCACCCATTTGATAACTGGGGGATGCTCTCTTCCAGCCCTCTGAAGGTGAACGTTTCATCAATAAAACAAACCGGGAAAATAAAAACGAAACAGCAAATGCGCAAAACCATGAAACAGCGGTAGCATCGCAGGCAGCCCGAGCTCCTGTTTTCCACAGGGACAGGGCAGCCTCCAGAAGATCGCGCGTCCCAGCTGGCATATTTGGCATCCTGTTGGCACACCCAGTCAGGCCATTCAGCCATTATGCCAAGGTGTGTCCTGTCCTGCGCGGCTACTGTAAAACTTGCAGACAGCCAACGAGCAGAGGTGCTTCGGGAAAACGTACACTTTAAACATGTTGTTGTTTGCTTAAATTTGCATACCTGCCTACATGCGTAGGTCTCAGGGAGGTTCACAACATACCGTAAATTTACAACTCTCCAGGAGAAATTTTAGCAAGTTACTAATATGAGTTGTCCCCCTTTAAAGCCTTTGTTTATGCTCGTTCTTGCTGTGTTTAAAATACTTTTGGTTTGTACACCTGAAGAATAAAAGAGAAACAAAGATGCCTAGATGATCGAGATGATTATTAAAAGAGAAGATGTGTGGTGGGGTGGAGTTTAATATTTTAATAACGACGAACTCCAATTAAAAATAGCATATTGCAAGCAGGTGTGTTGTTGTTTTCAATATGGAGGGGTTTCTCTTTCCTTCCACAGACAAAGGGCCAATAGAAAGTCTATGTATTAACAGTTTGCGTTAAGCATAAGGTGCTGATTTGCTACATTTCCAGCACCTGAGTTAATGGGCAGTGGCAAATAAAAAGGGGGGAAAGCAGGAGAATATTTTGATCTTAGTAGTAATTCACATTTGTTTGAACAGAACACAGAAGCATCTTTGACATCCTGGCTCCATGTGAAAAGATGTGAGTCTTGCTGTGGCGTTTTTGTTAACCTCCCCCCCCCCCCACATCTGAGGCTGAAAATCTAAATAGCACCCCAACCCCATGGTATCAAAAAATAAAATTAAAAAATAATCTGAAAGTTCATTTTGAAGTGCCTCTTACTCAGTTCAGTAATACTTATTCTCTAGTAAGTGTATTCAGGATCACAGCCTAAGTCACAGATATGAGAAAACTGACAAGTGACATGGGACATTCTAGTGAATTTTGAATACTCATGAATATTCATTTCCACTTTATCATTATCTGAGGAACATTTTTTTTTTGTTTTTTTCCTTATGCTTGATAGTGCTCCTTTCGAACTGCCTTGCAAGGGTCTGTTCAAATTGCCTTAATGTTTCTGTGCTGCTCTCCAACATGAAAAATGAATAAAGGGAAAGAAAGCTGGACAGTTCTCCAGTCTGCAGAACACCTAGGGAGTGTATTTAATTTCATACGAATGCTCAAAATATGAACAAGAGGAAATAAAACATGACATCCTGGTGAAACACGACTTCCCACTGCTGCCACCCACTCACACACACACTCCTACTCCTCTTCCTGGAAATCATCTGCATTTATCTGCATCCATGGAAAACACCCCCTGCCCTCATTTGCATCTAGATGGTTGGCATATTTTATTTTTTTCAGACAACAGTTGCCCTTGTAGGTTCTCACTCTGACTTGTGATCTCACCTTCCCTTTGCACGGTGACATTCAAATAGGCATCTTCAAATGTGAACATGTTTTTCCGCATTTTGTTTCAGCTTAAATTTGTACATAATGTACAAACACTTCAGTCCAAGTTAATTAAGATGTGAGTTATACTGCAAGCAATGGGTTTCAATGGACCTACAACTCGACTCCTAGGGTGAGGTGTGTCTAAGCCCACTGAAATAAATGGTTTTTGCAAGATCATAAATAGGGCTGGCTGTTAATCATGACTAACTTTAGCCAGATTAGGGTCGTCATCCTTAAATTATCTACAATATCTATATTTTGTCGATTGGTCGATCTGAAAACTGAAATGTTGTACTCTGCTGAAATACTTTTTTTAATATTGAAATGCCTTGGAATTTCCAGACAGCTCCTGCTAACCACCTAGGAGTTTGCTGCAGGAATTCAATCAGGAGGCAATCTTACCCATGTTCCCATAACTTAATTTCAGCATCTTCTTGGCATATACAAGAGCAGCAAGGAGCCCCATGACACAGATCCTTAGGAGCAAAGATTCAAAAGTACAAAGCAATCCAAAGGCAGATGCCAAATAAAATGCCTTGCTGGATACAGCCATGCATACATACCTTCATGGTTATGATCAGACAGGTTAGCTTATTTTACATGGAGGCATTCATTTAACTCAGCTTCTGCAAATTAAGCATCGCCTAGTTGACAACTGGGGCTTGGAGATATGTTTCAGAGTATGGGGAAGGGCTATAGCTCAGCAGTAGAGAAACTGCTTTGCATGCAGAAGATTCCAGGTTCAATTCCCAGTATCTCCAGGTAGGACTGGGAATATACCCTGTTTGAAACTCTAGCAAGCCATTGCCAGTTAGTGTGGACTTAGCTTGATGGACCACTGGTCCCATGCAGTATCAGGCAGCTTCCTATGTTGCTGTGACAGGGATAGCCAATGTGGTGGCCCTCCAAATGTTTTGGACTACAAATTCCATCATCCCCAGCCAGCATCACCAATGGTCAAGGATGATGGGATTTGTAGTCCATGGGAGGGCAGCACATTGTCTTTTCCTGCACAATGGGGAGCCTTTTTAGGGGTGTGAGAGTTTCCCTCTAGGAACCCACCTCTTTTGTTTTCAATGTGTGCTGCGATCAAAGCAACTTGCATGTTTGTATAGAATTCCCGCAATGTTTTCCTGGCATTCTGTACCTGTCTGTCCTCGCCCACTTCCACCACTGAAAGTCTGTTCTCTATTTAGTGAAGGGCAGTAAAAGCTAATTCTGGTGGAAGCCCATAAAGTTGATGATAATTAGGGGCATCAGCAGCACCCTTCCTGTTCTGCCTGTGTGGGGCAAACGCTCTCCCTCAAAGCTTCTTTTGTTCAGTTTCCCCCCTCCTTCCTCTATTCAGCAGGCTGCTCTGATAAAGGTTCATTAGTCAGATAGGCGCTCTAAGGCCTCTGTGGAGTCAGGCTGCCTTTATCACCACCTTAGGACAGCTGGAGGTAATTAAATACACCTTAGGCTAATAAAGGAGGTTTAATTTCACCAACGGAATTGATTGTGATTGTTAAAATGAGCACTGATAACATATCAAGCAGGTTAATATCAGTGAGGCAATAAAATCATTACTTGAAGGGAAGGCAGTGGGCTCCATGCGTCTAGCTTATGTCTCCTCACAGCGTCTGCTGGGCCTCATATACAGCACCAAATGCCACTGCTGGTTAGGGAATACTACCACAGGTGTTATTTCCTTATTGGATCTATGTATGTTTCCAGTGGAATTAATTAGAGGTGTGGTATCTAGGAACGAGTCAGAATAAGATCTATTTATTTTCTTTTCAGAGACTTCTATTCCCTGCAAAAAAATCACCAGTCTTTCGGTGATTTTTGGAGGACTGTCTTTGAACAGGGATGAAAGTCTTTGCCTAGAGTGAGGGCAATGGTTTCTGTTCTCACTCTGAACTGGCTTTGCTATGACATAAAGCAGCCAAATTGAATTAGTAACATGAAGGTTATCAAGGTGATCAACACTCTGACCAGAACACCACACTGGATCTCACTTCTCTGGGCAGAAAGAAGTGTCTTGTTCTGCAGAAGAAAGGTGCTCCCATAAGCACCTTTAAGCAAAGCTTCCCCACACACCCCAGTGAGGAGAGCATTGTCTGCCACTGGGCAAGGGAAGGAGTGTGATGCTCTGATGATTGGTGTGCAGTTGCACCCTGAGGCTGGTGTGAAGAATGGAGATGACTTTCTGCCCTCACTCTTCATTTTTGGTCCCCACCCAGTCCACTGGCTGTTTTGGGGCTGAGTAGGAATTTCTTACTTGTCCATACAATGGTCCACGAGTAGGGTTTTTTTTTTAACCTGCTCCATAAACATGCTGCTTAGTTTGTTTCTGTTGGCAATGATTTTTTTTTTAAAAGTGTATTGTGTTCCCTTCTATCTCTAGCTAAGGATACAGCCCAGACCTCCACCTCCCTTTCCTCCTCTTTCCTCTTCCTCCTTCTTCCACAATAACAATCTGATTTATTACCCATCCAGCAATTTTAAAATATAATATTAAACCAGTTTAAAACAAATTGCACTTACTATGCAGCTGCCCCCTGTAACATCCTTCTGGGTCAAATTTATTCTTCCTGACTCTTTTTTCCCCTTTCAGTTGCCCCACAGTCTGGCCTGATGGGCAAGTGCCGCCGACCCCGAACAGCATTTACCAGCCAGCAACTCCTTGAACTTGAGAACCAGTTCAAGATCAACAAGTACTTATCAAGGCCCAAGCGCTTTGAGGTGGCCACGTCTCTGATGCTGACTGAAACGCAGGTACATCACAGAGGGGGAGAGGGTGCATGGCCTTTGCAACAGTCAAGGGAACTCTCCTCTTCCCCCAGTACTTTCCCATACAGATCTTTGCACCAATTACCACACAGAAATGAAAACTACATAAGGACTTCTTTGGTATATCATGCAATAAACAGATAGACCAAACCCCGGGGCTCTGTAAACAATGTCAGCTGTGAGCACACTAGGTTTATTGATATATTTAGGTGTATATCACACACATTTTATACTACGTAGTGCATAAACACTGGAAGGGCAAGGCCCGTAGCTTTACAAATTTCCAGATGAAAACTGCAGGAAATCTTGTGGCGAACGTTGATGGGCTACACAAATGTACAGAAAGCAAGTAACTCCTGTGCAGTGCAGCAAAAATAGGTAGCTTGTTATCAAAAAAAGAGGAGGTGATCAGTCATAGGTTATGGCATGGGAGTAAATCTGGTTCAGGTGAAACTAAGGTATGGTTCCACGTATGGGGAACAGTAGAAGGCACAGTGACACAGACAATGGGAATATCTAGAGCAGCCTTCATCCCCTTGATGCTCTCCAGGTGTTTTTGGGCTGTAATCCCATCCTCCCTGACCACTGACCATGCTGGCTGGAGCTGATGGAAGTTGTAGTTCAAAACATCTGGAGGGCAAGCAGGTTGAGAAAAAGGCTGATCTGGGGTCTTAAGGTTAGGACAGAAGAATGTAAATGCCAGAGTGTTGGAACAAATCTCCTCCCAACAGAGTACCTGTCACTGTCTGTCTGTCCATCTCACGCAGGTGAAAATCTGGTTTCAGAACCGCAGGATGAAGTGGAAACGCAGCCGGAAGGCCAAAGAGCAGGTGTCACAAGCTGAGGTTGAGAAACAGAGGGGCGTGAGCAAGGCCTCCGAGAAACTGCTGTCCGGAGAAGGGCGAGGGCAGGAGGAGGAAGAGGAGAGCGGTGGCGATGAATGCAGCAGCCACAGTGCTGGCACACAGTTCCTGCGCCACAGTGCTGACACCTTCAGCTACAGCCCAGATTCCTCATGCTCAGAGGAGGAAGAGGAGGTTCGAAGCCCTACTCACAGGGAGATGAACTTGTTGCTATGAGTGGACCATAAGCCCAACAAGCAGGGCGGGGGTGGTGGTCATCCAGCAACCAACTCTAGATCACTGAAAAAGGATTGGTGCCCTCCTTTTGCTCATAGACTAAAAAGACTCTGCCTGGGCTGGCGCCCTGGTGAAACTGTGCCACTTAACTTATGTGTGTTTGGAATATATTTATCTTGTAATTGTTCTATTAGTGTATTTGGAGCAGGGAGGGGAAGCACGCGCCTTGGGATTCTCCTCACGATGGTATAAAGGCATTTACTTCAGCATACTAGCAAGCTGCGATTTGCTTTGCTGTGGTTTCAATGCATTTTTCTCCCCATCCATGTATTCTGACAAAACCCTTCATGACAGAACCTTTCCACCCTGCAATTTAATTGCTTCAGCCCTCGCTAATGAGGAAGAGAGAGGGCTCTAGATATTGTCTCCACAATGTTGGCTGGTGAGCAAAGGAGGGAATCTCAGCCTCCTGGGTAGAATCCCTCTCATTGGAGAAATAAGAAAAAAAGAACACATGTAGTTGGAGGTAATGAAAAACTGGTCCAGAACCTGACACGTTCACAAATAGTTGAAATGGATGGTTTGGGGGAGGTACTTAGGAGCCATTTGCAACATGCTGAGGTTAGAGATACTGCATGGAAGATGGATTGCAATAGTAACCCAGGTAGTAGGAATTATAAGCCCCTTTTATGACCATTAGGGAGTTATAAACTGTACATTCTGGTGCTCGTATGATGATGCCAGGAAGATAAGCATGCATAAGATCAGGCTGCAAGTAGGAAGCAGATTAGGTTACTTAATACGCTGACTTTCCATGTGTGTGGTCTTCCAGGGAATGAGTTATCAATATCAACTCTACAGGTATTGCTGTGCTTTCACTCAGATATTATATTGCTTATGCCAGGAGTAGCCAACACGATGCTCTCCAGATGCTCTTGGTCTACAGCTCCAAGTGGTCCTAAGCAGCAGTGCCAGTCATCAGGAATGATGGAAGTTCTGGGAATGTTCAGGGTGGCAGAAGAAAATATATTGTTTAATATATATTGCGCTAGCAAGTTCCTTTACTTAGCAGAGTGCATTCCCCTTTACACAGCAGAAAACTAGTTGCAAATTCGTGTGAGTTTCTTAAGACAATATGCAGTTCAATCTGGATTCCCCACATTGCAATGTGTTCTACTATTTTCCTGATAAGACCCCTTGAATCCCTCCTAAAAGAATAAAGACACCACAGTCTTATTCATAAACAATAAAAAGAAAGTTTACTCACGATCAGGCAGAGCACAGTGTGATCTCTGAAGGCAGGCTTAAGGCTTAAAGTTACAAGCATATACAAACAGGTTTACCCCACATGTGGGTTGACCCGATGACTGCAGTTAGCAGTCTGGGAAGTTTGCAGGACAAAAGGAAGATGGAAAGGGGGGGGGGCAGCGAGGCAGCATGCCTTGTCCTTTTACCAGGTCTGGAAAGCTTATGCTCACCCCCTAGTCACATGCAAGGAATGTCCTCCAGGCCAGGAGGAACAGGAAGTTTCGACTGGCTGGACCAAATATTCCCTTGTATGTCCACTCTAGGAAAACAAGGAATGTTGTACTTGACTGCTCTCAGTACATTATATCCCACAAAAGTTGTGGTCCTATAACATCTCAAAGGCACTATGTTGGGTACTCCTGCTCTACAAAGTAAGAGGACACATGTAATACTATATGGACAGGGCAAAGTATGTTTGCACTCCAAGGCCCCATGCCCTCACACAAAAGGTGAGGAACTCAGTGGCTGCATGTAGAAATCTGACATAGAGGAAGGAACAGCTGTGGGCAAACAATGTTTCATTCTTTCCCCCCTATAGCAATATTCATAATTCAGTCATATTTTCTCCACCTCTAATGTTTATTAGTTCCTCACAATGATACTTAAAATATAAGTGCAAAAATAAAAGAGGCTGGGTGTTCTTACATATCTTGATCACTCTGAGACAGAGCCCCTCAAGAGCGAGCCAGTGGGGAGACTTGAAACTGTTTTACCTTGGGCAAATCAAAATTAAGTGTGTGTGTGTTTGTACACACATCCATCCTGATATCACATGCAAGTCAAATATTATTTTTGCTCTGTACCTCCTTTTCTGACAAGGGACTGTGTGTGGTCTAGAAGCCTTCAGAATAACAAAAGATGGTTCAGTAAGAGATGTAATCGTTACCTGTGTCATGCTGTTGAGCCACAAACCTCAGAAACCTCAATGTTCATTAGTCATCCAACCACAAACATTCATCAGCTGGTACTTCACCTGTTCCACAAATAAAGACTTCCTTCTTCACAAGCATCCTGCTAAACACTTGGCAACATGTATCACCAGGAGTCAACTGTTCAATTACCCATCTAGCCTAGACTTCATGCAATCTCTATTCCCAGATTTCTAGAGTTCTGTATTCACAGAGTATCTGAGTTCCAAGTTGGAGCATCCAAGTGGACTTGATCCCAGCTGAAAGCAGGGTTTAAAGCAGGCATCCATCAGCTGATCAGTGGTGACTTCAGGCTCTGCTGAGATTGACTCTGCTTCAGAACATCAGGCGCTCCAATGTGTAGCTAGTCCAAGTGGGCCTTAAAGTCATCATCAAGACTTGAAGCCCCACTTGCATTGGCTGGTATCCTGCTGGAAACTCAGCGCAGCTTGAGTTCAAACCTGAGGTTGGTGGGGCAGAGGTTGGTGTCTCTGCTGCTAATAGGGCTGGGATTCTTGAAAAGATTGGTGGACAGGGCGAGCCTCCAGCCAATACAGCAAGGCATATCTTAAGGGCCAAAGTACACATGACCTGCAGGAATGCAATCAACATTTTTTGCATTCCCCCTCCCCCCCAATATAGATATCAGGCAAAGGAGATCAGACCAGCATCAGAACCGCAGGAAATCGGGAGGGAGAATCAAACCATTTTCTCCTGTGCCAATGGGAGCCTTCCCCCCAAAGGAAATAGCTGCTGAATGCCACACAATTAATATCACAGTTTGGCCCTGGGGTCTTGAGAACAGATCACTATGGCTGGAGAGCTACCCTTCTGTGGTATAGAGTACACCACAGTATGGAATACAAATTGCTACTGCTTCTAAGATGAGGGATTTTATTTCAGTTAAAAGCCACGTCTCTCCTTCAGTAATATGTAGCACAACTTGCATTGTGTCCTCACACTATTTTGTTGAACATTACATTTGCCAACAGCAGCAGCTAATGACATTGGTTTGGTAATGACATCAGAACCTGGGATATACTGTACTACATCTTAGGAGAGGGGAAGAACTTCCCTAACTATTGCCTTCAGCTTCCTAGGAAGGCCTGCCTCAAAGGTAGAGCCATAAAATGAACTAGTTAGTACAGCTCCTTACAAACAGATAAGAGGCACAGAGCAACAGTGACACACAGCGGATGAAGTGAAGAAATGCAGCCCTGATCGTTTTACACCAGGCTTCCACAACCTCGGCCCTCCAGATGTTTTGAGACCAAAATTCCCACCATCCCTGACCACTGGTCCTGCTAGCTAGGGATCATGGGAGTTGTAGGCCAAAAACATCTGGAGGGCCAAGGTTGAGGAACTGGCACCAGAGCAGCACACGGAACGCCATTTACCTTCCCGCTATAAAGCGGTACCTATTTATCTACTTGCACTTAAGGGTGCTTTCAATCTGCTAGGTGGGCAGGAGCTGGGACTGAATGACGGGAGCTCACCCCGCCGCGGGGATTCGAACCGCTGACCATGTGATCGGCAAGTCCTAGGCGCTGAGGTTTTACCCACAGCGCCACCCGCATCCCCCTCAGGCACATGAGCACCCATGAATTCTGATAGAAGAGCCAAGCCCTACCACATCCTTAGAACTGACCTCATAATCTGACACCAGAGCTTCAGAGTAGCAAAGGTCACAGGTTAAGTGGAAGCACATGGAGAAGGTGGCACGAGGCAGAGAAAAAGATGGAAGAAGTGTGTGTTATCAGGATGTCACATGCTGAAACATTCCCCCTGATGGGCCATGACAGGTTTAATTTCCAGAGTACACCCATTAAAGTGATGGATGGTGGCATTCAGCTCATGCAGAGTTTGTTTGTGGCTCCCTGCCGCTGCACAAAGCATGTTATTTAGTGGCTCTTATTTATGAGATTGTTTCTGCTGCATCTGGGCACCTGTCCAGTTTGGGGGGAGAGGTGGTATTGAAGAGAGAGGGGAAAGGGTTGATTTATGGTCATTTAGCTGCATGACTCAGAATGTAAACAGACATACCCCATTAAAGACACATTTTTACCCTTCTCCCCGTATCTCAGAACCAATGCAGTTTTACAACACCAAGGGCACTGGCAAGGGTGTTTCTAGATCCCATGGATCTCTCTCTAGGATGGGGAACTTGGGAAGCTGGACACTGTTGCCTGTGCATTTGCCATCAGAACAAAACCTCTTTTCAGGAACAGATCTGGGATATGTTCTAACATAATACTGTTCCCAAGAGTACCTTTGGGAGAGACGATGCTGGATAATATAATAAATAATAATAAAAATATTTTTTTATTTATACCCCGCCCTTCCCGGTTCAGAAAACCGGGCTCAGGGCAGCTAACAACAAATTTAAAACACTTAATTGTAAAAGCAGCATAAAGTACAGTATAAAAACATGAATAACAATAAAATTCAAAATTCAATTTGGGGGAAATCCATCTAATAAGCATTAGATAGTCACCAGGGCTAGCTGGCTGAATGAGTCCTACTTGGGCCAGCGAGGAGGCCAGGGGAGAATTAGCTGTGGGGTCTCAGAGCGGGTAATCTTCATAAAAGGGGAGGGGGAGGGAAGAGAAGGGAAATAAAAAATCAGGCTGAATTCAAATTAAAAGCCAGGTGGAATAGCTCTGTCTTACAGGCCCGATGGAAGGAGGTTAAATCCTGAAGGGCCCTAGTCTCATGCGACAGAGCATTCCACCAGGTCAGAGCCATCACTGAAAAGGCCCTGGCCCTGGTGGAGGATAGTCTGACTTCCTTAGGGCCCAGGACCTCGAAATTATGGTTATTCATGGACCTTAAGGTCCTCTGTGGGGCCTGCCAGGAGAGGCGGTCCAGTAAATACGAGGGCCCTAAGCCACAAAGGGCTTTAAAGGTCAAAACCAGCACCTTGAACCTGACCCTATACTCCACCGGGAGCCAGTGCAATTGGTAAAGCACTGGGTGAATATGCTCCCATGGCAGGAACCCCATGAGGAGCCTCGCTGCAGCATTCTGCACCCGCTGGAGTTTGTGGGACAGTTTCAAGGGCAGCCCCGCATAGAGCGAATTACAGTAGTCAAGCCTGGAGGTGACCGTCGCATGGGTCACTGTGGCCAGATCAGGGCGGGAAAGGTAAGGGACCAACTGCTTAATGCAGCAAAAATGGAAAAATGTCACTTTAGCTGTTGCTGTAACCTGCACCTCCATGGAAAGGGAGGCATCAAGGATTACACCAAGAATATTGAACAGTCCACCTATTGCCTTCAAATGGCATAGGGACATACTGAGTGGGGTGGGCAGCTATTGGCTTTTAAGCCTATTGAACTTTTGTCCCAATGAGAGATACCGAAAGACGAGAAAAAAATTGCATACATAAACAATTTTATGTATTGCGCAGGGATGGAAAGAAGATACTGTCCCAACTAAGGAAGAATGGCAGGCAAAGTTAGTGGACTATGCAGAAATGGCAAAACTTACAGGAAGAATGAAGAGTCAAGAAGAAAGAACTTTTAATATAGACTGAGGAACAATTAAACACATTAGCAGGATTAATTTAAAAACGAAGCAGTTAAAAGGTTAATTTAAAAGAAATTCAGAGAGTAACAAAGTTAAAGGTGTTAAGGGGGAGATGCAGTTTTAAAAATTCTTTTATAAGAAACCAGGGAATGGGGGAAGGGGGGGAAGGGGAGGCAAAATAAATATGTATGTATCTATCTTTTTAATGTATGATTATTGTTGTTAAACTGAAAAATAAAATTTAAAAAGGACTTTTGTCCCAATGTAGTTTTTGTCAGGTGAACAAAAGCTGATAATATTTTTATCACCCAGCTTTGCAGCAAACATCTAGAATTGATCAATGAATGACTAAGATTACAGCTGCCACATTTTTTGGGAGGGGTAATCTAATTAGCCAAAAGGTTGTAGCTAATGTTAGTCCTACTCAGAGTAGACTTATTAAAATTAATGGACATGACCAGCTCAGGTTGATTAATTACAGTGGGTTTATTCTGAGCAGGACCCGGCTGACTACAACCCAGAGATCAAACTGGTATATAAACCCTCTTCCCCATCCCATCTTTGAATTCCCTACCTGTGTCCCGCAAAACTGTCTCTTGCACACAGTGTGCACTTCCAGTATATCTCCCAATATTTACATATAATAAATATAGTCAATAGTTTTGTAACAAAATATGGCCATGTATGAGACAAAACGGAATTTGAAAACCTCATGACTATGCATCAAACACACAAGGTATTGAGTAAGTTGTATGGTTTGTTTATGCACTTTATCACCTAATATCTACCAAACACTGGGAGTGAGATCTAGGGGTTAAATATCATATGAAAAAAGGACTGGTTATGGAAATATGTACTATTGCTCTCAGTTTGAAGGATTTTTTTTTTAAAAAAGTACTGTCACACTGCTATTTAATCTCATTATGATGTAATTGTATCTATTCCTTCATCCCGGGACACGGGTGGTGCTGTGGGTTAAACCACAGAGCCTAGGACTTGTTGATCAGAAGGTCAGCGATTCGAATCCCCACGACAGGGTGAGCTCCCATTGCTTGGTCCCTGCTCCTGCCAACCTAGCAGTTCGAAAGCACGTCAAAGTGCAAGTAGATAAATAGGTACCGCTCCAGCGGGAAGCTAAACGGCGTTTCCGTGCGCTGCTTTGGTTCGCCAGAAGCGGCTTAGTCATGCTATCCATATGACCCGGAAGCTGTACGCCAGCTCCCTCGGCCAATAAAGCAAGATGAGCGCCGCAACCCCAGAGTCGGCCACGACTGGACCTAATGGTCAGGGATCCCTTTACCCTTTATTCCTTCATCCATGCAAAATCTTACACCAAACGAACAAGAAACCATTAATCTATTCCAGCTTTGCCCCCTCACATGTTGCTGGACTACAACTCCCATGGTCTCTCTCTGGCCATTAGTCATACTAGCTGGGGCTGGTGGGCGTTGGGAGTGAAAACATCTGGAGGACCACAGCATTTTAGAAGATCATTAGATCTCCCCGCTCCGCCCGCGACACACCCACCCGCTTCTTCAAGCACCTGAGCGGGATCAGGCTAAGGAACAGCTGCATCTAGTTCAATGAGCCGCAGCTGGCAAAAATTAATAAATGCTGGGGTTACACGGAACAGAATCCTCTTGAAGTTGGCGGCGGTTTGGACAAGAAGCCACTTTTTGGGGGGAGGGGAAATGCCACTTCTTGCTCGAGGGCTCTCTCTACAGGCCAGCTTCGTTATGAGGTACGGGGAGCGGAGCGGGTGGGGTCTGATCTCCTTCCTTCCTTCTTATTTTTTAACTAAACCTCCTGGACCTGCGGCTTCCCGGCTTGCCCCATTCACGACGCGCACATCTTGGTCTCGTTTTCCCGGGACGGCCCTCAAACGCCCTTTTGTAATAGGAATGTCCCTCCACGGCGGCCGTACTTAGTTACTCGGCTAGGCCATTTCCGCGTCTCGTTGCTGTAGCAACGCCGGTTTCGCGTTCTTCGCCTGCTTTGATCTTCCTTTCGTGCCGCCTTCGCCTGTTCTAGGATTTCCCTCTCCTGAGCTGTGGGAAGGTGAAGATTAGGTAGGACCCGGGACCCGCTCCAGGACGCTCAACCTCCACACGCCCGCCGCCCTCTTAGCAGGGCTCACCGAAAGCAGGATATTCCTTCCACTTAGTGGCACCGGCTGTGCGCTCCAGATCTCCTGTCCTTCACTCCCTTTTTTAAAAATGTGAAAAATTACATGCTCTTGGGCACCTATTTTTCTAGAAAGAGAGCCCTGCCATTACTTACTATGAAGCTGTTACAATAAGTGCCACACTTTTTAACAACAACAAAAAAGAGGTACCGGTACTGCGTACCATTGAGTACCCATGAAAAACAAAAGGCGCTGTGCTGGGCATGTTTCAAAGCACAGCGCCAGGGAGACCCCAGCTCAACCAGCATCTTTATTTGCTCAGTGACCTAATTTGCACACACACAAAAAAATACTTAAGGCACCAATTTGCATATGAATGAGTTTTTAAAATACCTGGCAACGCCCATCCAAACAGAAGCATGAGATTACTTATTTTAAATGTTTTGTTTTCAATTTATGTGGAACGGAGTAATCGGTCCCATAATTCCATTATTGCCAGATTCTCACCCTAGAGAACAGCCTTCTCCTGTCACCAGCAGCTTTGCTGTTCTACAATTTTCTGAACAACTGAGATGTTCTTTGGCCCTCTCAGGTGCAAAGATGCTGACTCATATGCACAGATACACAGCCAACTCAGACCCCCTTCAGAGACTCAGTGGTGGTGGTGGTGGTGGTGGTACCAAGCAGGTGAGTAATCTTTGTGCTATATAGCTGATAATAGAGTTTTCATTGCCTTTAAGTTTTAAATTGTGAGTAATTTCCACTGACATTTTATTTATTTATTTAATAAAATTTATACCCTGATTATAAAACACATCAAAGCAGTTTACAAAAAAGATAAAACAATAAAATCAAGAAACATTCACAACCTTACTCTTAAGCATACAAAAGTTAAAATACTAAAACAGATTAAAATTACCTCAACTTTCTATGCAGCTGGGTAGGACTTTCAAAACAATGTTTTCTTATCTGTTCCAGTGTAAGGTAAAGGGACCCCTGACCATTGAGTCCAGTCGCGGACGACTCTGGGGTTGCGGCGCTCATCTGGCATAATTTCTCCTGTTAAATTTTTGGGCTCACGTGGATACTTTCTGATGAAGTAATGAGCAGCATGGCAACTTGCATTTCTTTGTTTCTTTAGAAGCTGGTGGTGTCTGTGCGGAAGAAGCCTTCATTCTTCACTGCAAGAAAAACCAAGAATATTTTCTGGGGTATTGAAGTACCTGATAGTCTCACCTGGCAAGGATGGTGTCTAGGAAAAGAATTCACAAAACATCTCATTTTGAGAAATGTGTGTTTGAAACCCCAGAAGTTGAAGTTCAGGTGTGTAAGCCATGTAGGAGGCGAAAGGAGCTGCCATTTCTCTGCCTTGCATTTTCTTTCCACTGCAGTAGTAGTCATTTACCACTCGCCACTCAACCCTATTCTGTTGAGTAAAACTTTGCTGATATTTCACATTCCACAAATGTGTACATGTTGGATGGTCACTGCAAACCCTACTCAACTGCATCCTGATCGTAGACATGATTATTTAGAAGTAGCTCCCAGTGATTTCAGTGGGACTTCATCCAAGTAAATATGCTTTGTGTTGCCACCATAATTTATCTACTGGCAACTTCTAACAGATTGCATGGTTTGTTAGGTTTTTCACATTATTTGGTGGGTGTTTTGTGTACTTTTTCAACAATCCTGGTTTTTACCATAATTTTAGTATTTATGTATGTATGTATGTATTTAGAATGCTTATAACCCACCCTTCATTTCAGTGGATCCCAGGGCAGGAAATAATAATAATAATAATAATAATAATAGTATAATAAACTTGTATTTGTATCCTGCCCTAAGATAGTTTCCATAAAATTCCATAAAAACAACCATAAATAATAAAACTAACTTAATGATAAAAACTGCTGAAACCACAGCACTGGCTGCCTACTACAGTTATTACAATGCAACACTAAAAATTCCAGGGCAATAGGTAAGTCTTTATTTGGTGATGAATTTTAACTTTTTTATTACTATTCTCTTTGAAGTATTTCCCCCTGCATATTAAGTATCTTTAAATCTGACAGTGCAAAATTTGTTTTGACTTTTTCACAATGTTATATATTTTGTTTCATACAAAAAAAATTAAAAGTTCTTAAATATTCATAGTCATGCTTTTTGTTTTTGTTTTGTATCACCTCCATCTCCACTTTCCATGGTCACTTTGTTCTGATTTGTTTCCAGGCCTCCTACAACTCGTTTCTTCAATACTGTTTTCCCACAGCCAATTATTCTGAGTCCTGGGATGTCCATAACTTTGCCCATCATCTTCTGCCCTTTGGAAAAGGTAAAGCAGTTCAGGGATATACCTACCTCTCTTCCAAAAGCACCAATCTATCAGAGCAGCGTTCTCTCTGTGTCCTCTTCTGACTTGGCAGGCAAGGAAAGTTGATGACAATTGAACTTACGAGCCTATGTGAAGACTGAGACAATGTACTTCCCTGTGCACCTCCTGTTGCAGCCCAAACTTGTTAATTGTTTGGTGTCACAAATGTATGAATTCTGATTTGATTTGCTGTTCCCGCTCCAGTAACAGAAAGGAATTCAAATCTGGGGGAAGCAGGGCAGAATTTCTTGAGCACAGTAAAAATATTCTTTTCAGCAAAGTGGCAAAATATTGCAGTTAATGAACTATGGGCAGGGGCGTACGAAGGTGGGGGGGTGAGCCGTGCTGGGTGCCATCTGGGGTGTGTGTGACAAGATGGCCTGCTGCCTCCCCCCAGCTGTAAAGTGGCCGAGGGCGCGTGCGCATTCAGTATGGGCACCGCTCACGCGGCGTCCGTATGGGCTGCTACTTGTGCGTGGTGTCCGTACAGGCTGCCGCTCGCGCACGCTGTCCCTACGGGTCTCTGCATGGGCTGCTGTGCAGTCCGTATGGACGTTGCACATGTGCCGCTGGGCGTCCTGCCCCGCCCCTCGGTGTCCCGCCCTGGGTGCCAGAGAGGGTTTCTCCGCCACTGGCTATGGGGGAATTTTTTGTTTTTGGGCTCAATTTGGCCCAGGAGCAGGTTATCTTAAGGATAGTCTGCATCTTATGTAATCATAGGTAAAGGTAAAGGTACCCCTGCCCGTACGGGCTCTAGGGTTGTGCACTCATCTCACTCTATAGGCCGGGAGCCAGCGCTGTCCGCAGACACTTCCAGGTCACGTGGCCAGCGTGACAAGCTGCATCTGGTGAGCCAGCGCAGCACACGGAACGCCGTTTACCTTCCCGCTGGTAAGCAGTCCCTATTTATCTACTTGCACTTAAGAGTGCTTTCGAACTGCTAGGTTGGCAGGCGCTGGGACCGAACGACGGGAGCGCACCCCGCCGCGGGGATTCGAACCGCCGACCATGCGATCGGCAAGTCCTAGGCGCTGAGGTTTTACCCACAGCGCCACACGCGTCCCTTAGGTAATCATGCCTGAATATTGACTCTAGGGCCCATCATTGGCTAAGATCTGATTGGAGGGTACAAGGAACAGGACTTCTTTTGTGGAGGTGGCACCACAGCCGTAGATTCCCTTCTCTGGGAAGTCTGATACGCCCTCTGTCTACCATTTGTAGATGGTATTTGAATATATTTTAAATCTGCGTGGTATTTTATGACTGAGTCTGCTGTTTGTATTGGTTTTATTTTTTCTGCTGGTTTTTAATGCTGCTGTTTCCGTATGCTTTTTGCATTGCATATTGTTACATAAGCTGTTCAGAAAAAAATAAGTGTTTGAAATGTGGGACAGAGATAATTGAACTAAATGGACCTAATCATAGCATAGCACAGCTGCTCATGCTCAGTCAGTCCTTTTATTATCGCTTGGAATGCATGAATGTGTAACTCCTGCTCTGTGTATGTAGAGGTTGCCTGCCTGTTCTTTGCACTTGGCATGGAGTTCAGCCAGATGAGCCTCTTCTCTCTCCACTTCTTATGCAGAAAGAGTATGAAGACAGTGTTCTTTTTGAAAAGGCAGAAGGAGAGTTTTCTGTTCCTCTGGTAGCCAAGCTACCGCACCTTGATTTGCTTTTCCAAGAGAGTATCCAGCTTCCTGAATGTGCTGTCTATGACTCTACAGAGGCCTCCTTTACCATGTACAATGATGGGTGAGTGTGGTTGTCTGTAGCCTCTAAAGCTGTTTACTCAACTGGATTAGGATGGGATTCATACAGCTGACCCACTCCTGCTATGATTGCCTTTGGAGATTGCTATCATGTCTTTCCATATACTACTACTGCTGAGACACAGAGTGCCCCTAAGTTTTCCAAAGGGTATGTGTTTGGGATATTGTGGAAAGACACTGTCAAATGAGATATTGAGAAAAGCTATTTTGCTCTAAAGCCTTTAGTTTACAGCAGGGGTGGGGAAGCTTATTCAGACTGAGGGCCACATTACCTCCTGAGGGCCAGTGATGGACAGAGCCTATGGCGAAAGTAGGCAGAGCAATAAATAGGAATTTTATCTTTGTACAGCAGGCTAGTTTCTTCAACCCCAAATGTCCTTCTCTTATCCTCCACCTAGGCAGGCAAGAATCACTGTTGTAGTTCATGAATGTACTCAAGTCAGGCAAAAACATTCAAGGAGGGTGCAATGTGAGAGGTATAGCTCTGGAGGTCGTATTGCCTGGGGAGAGTCCTGAAGGCCAGGCAGAGAGGCCTTGAGGGCCACATTTGGGGTTCCCCATCCCCGGTTTACAGTGTGTGTTTCTTCTAGAGAACTACTGACATGCTTTAGTTGGGAGGTGCCACCTTCTTTCTGCATTCTTCCTTCTCGTGGCATGTTGGATCCAGGCGAAGAGTGCACAATGAAAGTGATATTTCAACCTGAGATGGCTCAAGTGCACAACATATCAGCAATATGCAGTTTTGGAGATACTCCGGAGCAAAAGGCCATCCAGCTGAAAGCTGTTGGTGAGGACTTTTCAACTCTAAAGCAAAAGGGTAGTGTAGGCCATAACATTAGGTTTTATGGGTATCTATGTTCTTGCCTATGGGTTCACCTGCAACACTGAAACCCCATGAGCTAAAGGAGTCCTGTAATAGAGGGTCCTATCTGCTGTTTTGCAAAGGGTCTTAGCTTCATATGTTCCTGGTTGCTGAGAACATCTTTAATCTGAACTTCATTTTTCACCTGTTCTCTCACTCGCTTGCCCCACTTGGAATTTATCTAATTTTGCCACATATTCTTATTTTATGTGCAGCTTCCTAAAATTATAACTAAGGCCTGCTAGAAATCATCATAGTATCTGCTACATTTTTAGATACCCTAAGCTATCCATTCAAGGAAGAGTACAATTGTTATGAAATATAGTATAGTATTCCAAGCTCCAAAAGGCCCCATGGAGAAAGCCATTTTAATCCCCATGCTCTTCCAAAGGCAGTTCCCATCTTGCACAAGGATAAAGGCTGCTTCATTTCATGATTATAGGAAGTTCAATGTCTCTCATTTCCATGTGTTTTGTTCTTGAAGATCCATAATTTAGAGGGTTTCTGTCCTGAATATAAGGTTCATGGCCTGAGAACTGTTCAAAAGGTATATTACTGGTCACTGAATGATTTTGCTTCAGTTTAGATATTTGACACAGTGATGCAAATGCCCAAACCAATATGTTTTCAGTGTAGGAAGGCCTCCACCTTTGACTTTTAAAAGTAATCTTTATTTTCTGCAGCTAAATATCCCCACCTGCTGGTGAATGTGCCAGGAGACTCGTGTGAAGATGCCAGGCTTAGAAACTTCCGGGATGTGCTCTGCTTTGGTGCTGTTGCTGCTGGCAGCACTGTAGAAAAATATGTGGATGTCTTCAATGTGTCTGTGGTACGATAAGTTGATCCTTGAGTTTTCAAACAGATATATTCTCATGACCTAGATGTGTGCCCAAGAGGACATGTCCATATTCTGCTTTGTCAGTGCCTACAACATGCCTATATCTTTCTTTTTTCCCCAATTTTAAAAAATTGATTTTCCAGATTTTTCACACAGAAAAAAGAAAAAACATGACAAAACACACAACAAAGACAATAAACTAAACACAAAAGAAAATTATTACTTCAAATACCTAAATCTCTTAACATTGGTAACTGACTTCCTCGAATCCCCTCTATCTGAATTTCATTATATCACCTGTATAACAGTTCTCCAATTTCATATTTCTAATAATATTAACTCCTTTCATTAACTAAGCTCTTCTCCTTTATTATTATTCAAATCATTAATATTTACTACCACATATTCTTATTCTACCCCTAAGCCTATTTGTTACTTCCAAGTATTTTCTAATTATCTTACATTGCAATATTTAGCTAAATATTCTTTAAATTTCTTCCAATCCTCTTGTGTCTCCTCTTCTTTCTGGTCGCGGATTCTTCCAGTCAGGTCAGCCAGCTCCAAAAAATCCAACGTCTTCATCTGCCAATCTTCTATTGTTGGTATTTCTTGCGATTTCCAGTTTTTGGCTAATAAAAGTCTTGCTGCTGTAGCAGCATACAAAAACAATCTAACATCTTTTTGGGACAATTCCAGTCCTATTACTCCAAGAAGAAAGGCTTCTGGTTTCTTAATAAATGTATTTTTCAACATTTTTTTCAACTCATTATAAATCTTTTCCCAGAAGTCTTTCACCTTAGGGCACGTCCACCACATATGATAAAAAGTACCTTCTTTTTCTTTGCATTTCCAACATAGATTATCATTTGTATGATAGATCTTTGCTAATTTCACCGGGGTTAAGTACCATCGATACATCATTTTCGTAATATTTTCTTTTAATACAGTACATACAGTAAACATAACCCCTTTCTTCCACAGCCTTTCCCAATCTTCCAACATTATATTGTGTCCAACATCTCTTGCCCAGTCAATCATCACAGATTTAACTTGTTCATCCTTTGTATGCCATTCCAACAATAAATTATACACTTTAGAGAGATTTTTAACATTGGTGTCTAACAATTCCGTTTCCAATTTGGATTTTTCTATCGCAAAACCAGTTTTCTTATCAAGCTTGTACAATTCATTAATCTGATAATATTGTAACCATCCATCCAATCTATCTTTACTTTGATCAAATGGTCTCAATTTAAATCCTTCATTATCTTCCAACAATAAATCATCATATTTCAACCATTTACTCTCCATATTCAGCTTTTTCTGTGCCTTTGCTTTCATTGGTGAAAGCCACCTGGGTGTTTTCCTTTCTAAGAGATCTTTATATCTTATCCAAACATTATATAAAGATTTATCATTACATGATTTTTAAAACCTTTATGAGCCGATATCTTATCATACCATAAATATGTATGCCAACCAAATACATTGTCAAATCCTTCCAAATCTAACACACCAGCATTGTCTAGTTGAATCCATTCCTTGATCCAGCAGAAAGCCGCAGCTTCAAAATATATCTTCAAATCTGGCAGGGAGAATCCCCTTCTCTCTTTTGTATCTGTTAATATTTTATATTTAATTCTGGGTTTTTTCCCTTACCAGATGAATTTATACAGTGTTTTCTGCCAATCTTTAAAACATCTTAGATTAGCTTGGAATAAAAACAACATCTTTGGCAATACATTCATCTTAACCACCAATATTCGGCCCATTAATGACAATTTTAGATTTGACCAAACCTCAAGATCTCTCTTAATTTAATTCCATAATTTTTCATAATTATCTTTGTATAAATTCAAAAATTTTACCGATAAATTTACACCCAAATATTTCACTTCACAAAAACAAGGCCTGTCTTTTCCTGAAGGATTTTTTTCTCCTCATTATTTAATTTCCCCTCCAACACTTTGGTTTTGCTCTTATTTAACTTAAATCCTGCTACTTGCCCGAACATATAAAGCACCCCAATTATATGATTTACAAATCCTCTATGTATTTTCACCTTGTTATACCATAAATAGGAGTGCCATCCATATCCATTATTATACCCTTCTAGATCCAGCAGGTCCGTGTTTTCCAATAATATCCAATCTTTTATCCAACACAAGCAAGATGCTTCATAATAAAGCTTTAAATTTGGCACCGAGAATCCTCCTCTTTCTTTCTTATCAGTCAATAGTTGAAATTTTATCCTGGGTCTTTTCCCCTGCCATATGAATCGTGACAAGACTTTTTGCCATTCTCGAAATTGTGTCAACTTAATTGTAAACAGCAACTGTAAACATTGACTGCATACTTTACATTTGCCATAATAAATTATTTTAAGTTATTATTCTTTGAATACCATGCTTCCAGCAACACTCTGAAAGCATCTGCACAATGTGGAAGTTTTCTCTAGATGTACACAGTAGGTGGCAACCTTTGCTTGGGAATTTTGAGGGGAATTTATAGTCTGTGCAGAGAGTTCAGCTGCCAAGAATTGCAGGAGCCTGGACATAGGATTTAATGGAGACACTTGGTTGTAGAATGGATCTCTCCTGAAAGAGAGGGCAGGCAGATGCTAGTGAGTTTCCATTCTGCTGAAGTCTTTGGTCTCTGTCTGCAGTTTCCCTGGCATTATAGGCACAGGACCACAAAGGCGGCGGCTTCTTCTTCTTTTTAATTCCTATATTCATGCAATACAGTGTCTCAGAAGCTAAGACTGCTGGTCTCCAGATGCATCACCAATTACTCAAAGGGGATTATGAGTGTTTTGTGTGGGAATGTACCAAAGTTTCCATCAGAATAAAAAACTGCCAATTTAGAGGATTGGCCTAAGCTGTAGGCTTTTCTCTCCTCAGTGAGTGGAAGTATAACACTTTCTGTCTCTCGGCAGGTCAGTGCCCCATTCAGGATTGAGAGAGCAAAGGAAGTAGTGCTTCGTGATCGTGTTTTTTCTTGTGACACCACCCAAAACATTGCTCCAGCTCGTGGGAAGTCAGTCATCCCTGTGAGGTTCAGCCCACACACCGTGGGTGTAAAGAGTGTGGACTACTTCACTGTTCTGCCTGCTGGGAGCAGCACCCATTCTGTGCTGAAGGTGACAGGTTCATGCAAAGGTACAAGGCAGTGAGAGCCCTTTTGCATCTCCGTGCTTCATCAAAGCACATATACCAGTGTTTTGCTCCTGATTCCAGCAGATTTGGGTTATGGTACCTTGCTGGATATTGAGCATGTACAAAACATTTTGTCCAGAGATTTCAAAGCTGTTCTGGTGCTACTTTGCAATAGCATTTGCATTTGAAGAGTTGTGAGTTGTTGTATATTATAGTTAAGTTGCAACCAGAGGTTGTTTGGGTTGGACCCCTATTCCTGTCTGTTGTTGAGATTTTAGCAAAAGGAACCCTGCCATCCTAGCAGTAAGAGTCTGACCCCATCTGGGTAGAGGGAGTGGGGCTCTGTGCATGTCTTCTTGCCGCTGTGTGAGTGAGACTGTCTATATATTTGGGAGCAGTGCTGAATGAAGATAGGTGATGAGGATCAACCACTTTTATAGCAACAATAATAACAACCAACCCTGGAGGGCAGGGAATTAGGAACTATTGGTATACAAAAACTAAAAACAGCCTCCTTTCTGAATAGCAGCAGTGGTGTGAAAATTGGCTTTGTTTCTCATTCCAGGTCCTGAGATTTCCTTTCAGCACCCCGTTGTCTACTTTAGCTGCATTAACCTTGGAGAGTACTTAGTTCAGCCCTTAGAGATGACCAATAACTCTGATGTTCCAGCCTACTATCAGTTTAACATTGACTGCAAGCAAAGTGTCTTTTCCTTTGACCGTCCTGTTGGGGTCTTGGATGGGATGTCCACTACCACACTGAAGGTCACCTTCCAACCCACCTACCCAATAATTTTCTACCGACGAGTGGTTTGCCTTGTTCATCATCAGGTAAGAGGGCTAGGATACATCTTCCATTGAAACAGGCCTGTTGGTTATGTGCCCCAGTCAAGCAGGGGGTGGTTGAATGCCATTTCATGGAGAGAACAGGACCCTCTCTTTTGCCTGGTGATTGTGCTTTATCAGGCAAATATCCTTACATGGAAATGCTCAGGCTTTCTCAGGCCAATGCCTTATTTTCCACATCTTTGATAGCTTTTCTTAAACATACCTAGAAGCACAGCATTTTATTCAAGCCCTAACCTCCATACCCCTGTAATGTGTGCCCAGACCTCAAGCCCTGACCTACTGCATCTTCCCCCACCCCCCGCTCAATAGCTCTTGTCCCTCTTATGAACAGAGGTTTTGATTTTAAGTCATTACTCTGTGTTGAATTGTGTAGATAAGAGGACCTGGCTTTCAGGCTGATCTTGGAATGCAGGGAAGGATAGAGCATCTTCCCAAGGCAATTTCCTGCATTTCCAGTTCAAAGTGGTAGCATAAAAGCAAGAATGCATGAAGCAAGCTTAGAAGAATTCTGTAGCTTTCCCTTAGGATGCCCTCTTCTCAGAACAGAAGGCAACTGTCTAGAATGCACAACACTGCTGATTTTGCAGTGGTCTATCAGCTGTGATGACCAGTGTAAGGGGAAGCAACTTGGTTGTGTTTGCTATGGAGGTTGGATGCACAGGAACAGAGCATCCTACCCCCTAAATGAAAGCTTTGTGGATACGTATAACCAGCACAGAATAGCTGCTGGAGTGCTGAGTGTGGACACGGGAAACACAGATTCACATTCCAGCTTAGCTTCTGAGCCAGTTGGATGGACACTGACAAGTCATTATCTCCCAGCCTCATTTACTGGTTTGTTCACTGCAATTCCTTGTAGAAAGGTTGGGAAACTAATACTAAAACAAATGCATATAGTGCACTGCCTCTGCCAGTGTGTAATCTTTCTCATTTTAACAAAGTCCAGCTCTCAAAAGCAGGAGACGATAACTAGAAAATTTGACTGAGGATCCCTTTAAATGTCACCCTAACCACACCGGAGCTATTTTTCTGTGAGCAGTTCCTGTACAGCTGGAGTAAATGTTTAAATGACCACCCACATGGTCGATCTTTCTCATGGAATCAATACCCAGAAACCAAAGGAGAAGCTTATTCTGTGATCAGATCCCACATGATTGGCCCTTTCACATCTGGATTTTAAAGGCTCCCATAGTTGGTGGGGGAGCTGCTTATGGAAAAGTGCCCCTGGAGGGACAGGGAGGAATAATGTTTAAAGGGTCCCTGGGACAACATATTAATATTAATATTAATGGGTGAAAGTTGCAAAATTATATTCCTGAAAAGAATGCAGATGAAGTGGACTCTGCTGTGGTCTCTGCTGTTTCAGGATCCATTATTCATAGATTTGATTGGGACCTGCCACTCGGAAACAATGAACCCAAACATTCTGAGATTGAGCGACATTACCAGGTACAAGACACACATGGCCAGAGGACTGACCTTTTTCCCACCGGACATCCTGGGCACTATGTTGAAGGAGGGCAAACTGTTGGTGGATGAAACCGGAGCTCTCACACTCCCACCGGAGGTACAGTACTCAGTTTTGCACCCCTGGAGGTAGATTCCGCAGAATCGGTGATGTCTTGGTGCCCATGCTGAGTTTGCAAGTGATCACAGTTGCTAGACTTAGATGGGAAGCTCAGGCCTGGGGACTGAATGTTGTCTTCAGTAAGATGTTAGTCTTTGGTTTAGGCATACACCTCTCCTTTTCCCCCCTTTTAGATGCTGGATGATAAACCTCCTGAAGAGTACCCTGCCCTTGAGCCCATGGTTGAATATTTCCATGACGGTGTAAGCAGTGACCTCACGGTGTTTCCTCCCCACGTTAGCCTTAGCATCAAGGAGTATGATTTTGGCTGTTGTGCAAAGCTTCAAGAGGTACAACCACTCCCTTTCTGTGTGACCAATCACACAAAGGGAAAAATCACAGTTATATGGACAAACAAGCCACATAGTCCTTTTCAAGTGCTCCCAGAAATTTGTGACATCCCACCTCTGAAGACTATGGCTTTCCATGTCACCTTCAAGCCTTCTTTGCTCAATTCCATGTATGCAGCTGAACTGGAGGGCTTTGCCTTCTATAAGGTGAGTAGAAATTTGGTGTCCAAAGCATTGACATTTATGGCACAGAAATTCTCGGCACATCCACACCATATATTTAAAGCACATTCAATGCACTTTTAAAGCCTATGACTTCCTCCTAAGAAACTGTCGTTCCGTCCTCACAGAGCTAGAATACCCAGCACCCCCAACAAATTACAGTTCCCAGGATTCTTGGGGCGAAGCTATGTGCTTAAAGTGCATTTGCTTAAATATATGGTCCCATTGTCCCGGGTTAGGAATTTCCCCTGGTCATGAGGACAGCAAGAAAAAAAAAGATGGTTCAATCATCACAATGTGGGCTGGCTGGCTGGCTAGTACAGAACCTTTTGGCAAAAGCGCTCTCTAGCAAAACGTTAAATTGCCACATCCGCTGAGAAGACAAGAGGGAACAGGTTTAAAAACAGAAATGATGATTAGTGATGGGATTCCTGCTGAAGGGCAGTTTTGTTCTCTTTCTGATACAAAATTTTGGCTTGGAACCCCATGGCAGGGCAATAAGGTAGAGCACAGATGAAGTCCTGCTGTATCGTGCTGCTCATCAGAGAGATCCAGCATACCCTAGTTTGGTTGTAAGTCACTTTGGCTTGTCTTTGGCAGGTTAAAGCGACTAACAAATCTTAAAATTAATAATATTTTGTTTGTTGCTGGCAGGTGCTGCGGAACTTCAACAACATTGAGGAGCCCATCACCATGTGCCCATCCTGGGACTTAGCCATCTCCTTGCGTGGACACACTTTTCAACCTGGGCGGCAGCACTTTATCCCCAAGTACGACTTGGACTGTCACAAGGTGAGAGGGATAGCCTTCGCCTTCTGGGGTGGGGTGTTTCTCATCTACTGCCTGCAAAGTAGAAAGGATTCATTGTTAGTTTTGTGCGTCTGCAATGTGTTTTACAATCTTTCTTTTGTTTCCCTGCAATAATGAGATGTTGGTTTCTATTCTTTCCATTTCCCAGAAAGGAACAAATTTTGGAAAGTCATGATGAGGACACCCAGTGGCCACAGAGATGAGCACTTGCTGATCTAGGCATACTGGATTGAGGGCTCATTCAGTCACTCCAGCATTCTTTCTGCTTTGGTGTACTTACAAACCTAGCCAGAGCCTTGCATTGTGTACTTTCCTGATAAAGTAGAAATTGGAGTGGCTTTCTTGATCTCTTCCCTTTCTTCTTCTATTTTGGGGGAAATTATTATTTTCTCCTTAGCAGAGTTTCTGGGTTAGCGTGTCTCGGCTGGTGCCTCAACCCAGTCAGTGACAGCAGAGGTCAACAAGGGGTCCACCTCCAAGGGGAAATACCTGCCAGTTTTAAAGTATGGTAAAAGCATATTTGCAGTCCCTCCCTTTATTTCTGGAGTCAAAGTTTGCCCATCTGTAAAATGGGAACAATAACAAAGGAGGCCATTTTTCCTATTCTTTACAACAGGAGGCACTTGTTCAAGCCTGGTTTTTTGAACTAAACCATACCTCCTTTAATTCTATTTGGGTGTGTACAGACTTACAACATTTGAGTGGTGAGCTTGCTGTGGATGCACACTTGTGCTTTGGTCCATTTAAGCTCAGGGGAAACCCATACTTCCAATTTGCACTTGAAAAGGCTGTGCACAGTGCTGATCGGCCAGCCCTTATGTCAATCAATAAATCTTTTCCCCCACCCACCCACACCCAGAGCAGGTTTTAAAGCATAAAAGTGTTTTAAAACTCCCCCCCCCCTTAAAAACAGTGCTGAACAAATGTTTGATCAGATAAATAGGCAAGGTGCTTGGAAAGCAAGACAGAAACCCCGAGTGTGTGTCCTGTGAGAGTATGGCAGGAAGCTGAGGTAACTCCACAATAGAATCATGTGTGCACACTTCCCTTTGCATGTGCATCTGTACGTCACCTCTGAATCACCCCCCTCCCTTCCAAAATGAGGTTAATTTTTGCACAGGTGTAGCTTGCAAAAGACTCCAGGATTGTAATCATTGGGTAGCTGTGCATGCATGGGATTTTAATTTTGTTCTTCTACGCCAGTCAATAAAAGGGATAGGAACGTTAAACTCATGGATGTGATCTTGGAAAGTGAGTCAGATTTTATGCATTTTTTGTGGCCCTTGTTGTTTTCTATGTCTTTTGAAGAAGTGCAGCCTTTCCCAACTGGCTATTCAAGGCAGAGATGCTAAGAAGAGAAGAATGCAGATGAGTTATTCCTCCAACCAGAACCTCTTCCTGTCTTTTAGGTCTTCCCTCCGGTGAGCCCAAACATCACCACGTATCGCAGCATGCTGCTCTCCAACGTGGGTAGCACTGCCATAAGCTTCAGCCTAAGCCGGGAGAAGTGTCCTTCCATCCTAGTGAAGCCCAACTGTGGGTATATTGCACCTGGAGCTCACCAGATTGTTCTCCTCTCAACTTGCCCAGTGGAAACATCTATACAGCAGCACATCTTGTCCATGCAGTTCAATTTCTGGCCCTCCTTCACCCAGGTAGGGGCAGGAAGAGGTAGACTCTTCCTTTCATTCTCTGCCCCATTTTATCACTATATGGTGAAGAGGGACATACCCCTTCACCCTGTCTGTAACATCCTGGAATAGCTCAGTTGGTATAGCATGAGGCTCTTAATCTCAGGGTTGTGGGTTCAAGCCTCACGCTTGGCAAAAGATTCCTGCATTGGACTGCAATAGGATTCTGGTAGTCCCTTTCAATTCTACAATTCTGTGACCCCTAATTTTTTTATCTTAATATTCTAATGATTTGGAGGCTAAGCACACCCCTGCTGTAATAGTTCAATGTGAGAGCATTTGTTTAGCCTTTAAAAAAAATGGCTACCCACTCAGCCCACAGCAGTACCATTTTTTTAATCTCTTTTCTTTAGTTTGACGCTTCAATACTTGAGGTGATTCTTTTGAGGAGCCACACTATTCGTGTGACTATAATTTGTTTTAAATGGTTTTTAATGTTGTATTTTAAATTATTGTGATCCTCCTTGGAACCTTAGGATGAAGGGCGGGTAATAAATAAAAATAATTCTTTGATGCACTGGAAACTACATCTACCCTATTTTTTAAAAGTAGTATGGTTTTTGGTCGTCTTCCACATGGGCTGAATGAGGTTGAAGTACAAATTATTTTTGCTTTTCTTTCTGTTTATCAGCTGCAAAATAGGTCCCAAGACAACCTGTAATACTTAAAATCAAAATTATCAGTTTAGGTCAGGCAAGATTTAAAACTCCCCAATAATGTATAGAATCCATCAAATAAAACTGTTTTCTGATGCAGTGCAGCATAAACTAGATAAACCATGAGGAAAGGAAAGCTGTTTCTTGTTATTTAGCTCCTTGCTATTGTAGGTCCATGTGGTCAGCTGATTTCTGTACAAAAGTCCTCGGGTGGGTAGGTGGGAGTTGTTTACTTTCTTCTCCTTCTGCCCAAACACCTTGCAAATGTCTTCAGTGTATTCTCTTAACTATCATGGACATAAAAAGGTGATGCACTAGTATTCTAGTGACTAGATTAAATATTTTGTTCGACTGCTTAGATCTCAGCTGTTTGGGGAAGCTGAGGCTCTGCTAGCAAAGAACACTTCAAAAGGCAAAATAACCTGCTGATGGGTTGGAGGCAGGTGGCCAGCCATCACTTCACTGGTAGCTCTGGTGACATTTAAGTGACTGCATTCTATATGGTGATCACAGCCAATGTACAAGATAACTGGTTTAACGATTGTTGTTGTTTAGTCATTTAGTCGTGTCCGACTCTTCGTGACCCCATGGACCAGGTTTAACTATTATGAAAACATAAAAGAAGTGCTCTGTTAGAGGATGCTCCTACGTCCTCTGTAATATATGAATAACAGCTGTCATGAATTGAGGAGAGACTGTTGCTCAGAGGTAGAGCATGTGTTTTGCATGCAAGATCAGTCCCATATATCTTCCTGGGAAGGATTCTTTGTCTAAAGTCCTGGAGAGCTGCTACCAGTCTGTGCGAATGGTCCTGAACTAGATGAACCAATGGTTGGAATCGGTATAAGGCAGCTTCCTATGTTCCTGTGCTTCTTACGTCGCCTTTAATGATTGGGAAAATTGGTTCACGAGAGAAGGCCTTCCAGCACATGCACACGTTTTGTTTATATCAGCCTTCTTTAAATAAGCTTCCAAAAGTTTCTAGCCTGCCAAAAAATTGTCAGGCTGGAAACTGACATGAAGATAGAGAATTAAACCACAGTGGCAGCTTGCTTTGTTTCTCTCCTGGGTGAAGAGGAGATTTGGAGTGCTGCATCTCACATCTGCCAGGCTATTCTTGCTCAATCTAGGTGCTATAGACGATGTTTATACACCATCCCATGCACACACCTTCATGCAGTTCCTGGTTCAGTATAATGGTTTACCTTGCACTTGAAAACCGTTGTTTAATGGCACTTCTAGAACTTCACAAATGGAAATAATTATTTTGGCAGCGTTGCCCTTGTGCCTCCTTCTGTGTATTGTCTCAGTTTTCCCAGGCCTGTCCATGCCAGCCTAGAACCTAGCTCAACTTTCCTGTGAAAGTGCTGTGGCTTTCAACATTGGCTGAAGATTCTTGCTGATGTTTGCTTCCTCAGGAGCTCCACCTTCAGAGCAGCGCTGAGCCCCTGGTCTTGCTATTAGAAGGGGATGGCTGCCTGTACTTCAAACCCACATATGTGGGCAGCTCTTCCTCACGCACCTTCACTATCAAGAACTGCACCCGGTTACCCATGCTCTTCAGGTGGAAAATCCAGCAGTCAGACAAAAACCTTTTATCTGTACAGCCTGCTGAAGGGACTATATTGCCCAATGAAGCTTTGGTGAGTAGACCTTGGTCACTGTTTCCACTAAGCAATCTGAAGCAATTACATTGAAATATAGCAAAGTCCTCCTTGGGCCAAGCCAAAGATACCAATAAATGTGAAACCAGTGCCAAGACAAATGTTTTGTTAGATATATGGACTCACCCCTTCATGCTTCTGGGTGTGGAAGTGGGGAGGAGAGGAAGTTGGGTTCTCCCTGTGGGTTCTCCTGTGTCCCTAGCAACTGGCTCACCCAGATGCTTCATCCCAGAAAGGCAGAGTGCTGTGAATCCCCGCTCAGCCTTCTCTTTTGTATGCGATTTCAGGCTCAGACATGGACCTTCACTCCCAGTGAGCAAATCAAATACCTTCTGCGGAGTTGGGTGATAGTGTGGAGAGAGCAAGAGATTCTGGAAGACAGTACCCCAAAGACTGCCCACTATATCCTGCGGGTTATCGGCGAAGGATCACAGGGCACTTTAACAGTAAGGGACAGCATACGGGGCAGGAGAAGTAATCAAGACCATGTTGGAAGAGGGTGGAAGTCCAATCACAGAGCTTGATAGTTTAAGCATACCCAGATGACACCTGGCATTTATGGAAGCCTGGACATATCCCTTCCAGTTGGTAGTGCTACTAAGCCTTTACCTGCTGGCCAGTGCGGTTTTTTCTAGAAAAAAAGTACTGCTCAGTTGCAAGGAGGGGTGTGTGTGTCGGAGGGTGAACACTCTGTACTTTGTCAGAGGCACACTGCTCTTTTCCAATGCTGGCATCATCACTTGGCACCAGTGAATAGGCCAACAGGTTTTGGGAATGGCTGTGCAAAGCAGGATGGAGGTTCTTATTCCTAAGAGTGCCCACTGTTTTTGCCGTCATCCAGCCCACAGTTGACCTTTGCTGGCAGAGCAGCATTTCCTGCCACACGCTCGCCCCTTCCATGAGTGACATTGCCCCATGGCTGCCCTTCTGCAGCTTGCTGCCGTGCTCTCTGATGGGAAAATGGAGGACTGCTTGCATTTCCTCCCCTCGCCAAGCAACACTGCAAGGTATACCCAGAACAGCAGAGCACCGAGCGGCTCCTCTGTCCACCCTTTGGCCATGCTCAGCAGCAGTGCCCTAGCCCTTGCTTTGCTCTGGTGTGTGGATTTGCCCCCAGGCCACGCAAGAGGCTGGGAGAAGAGGGTTTTGCTCGGGGAAATAGCTGCACCCACCAGAGAAGGTGAGCAGATTTGACAAAAATAACTTCCTGGAACTGTGTTCTGGTGGGTTCCACCAGGGGGAAAACCCCCACTGCTGCTGGCACTGATGGATTGAATAGCGATCCTAATGAGACCCTTGGCCTACCCCCCTGATGCTATTCTTTCCCCTCAGTGTATTAAATTTCAGAATTTATTTGCATGGAATACCCATTGTCAGCGTCTCTTAATAAACTTCCTGTGTTGTGCTTGCTCTGCAGGGACAAAAAGAGCAGGTAGCTGTTGGCAACATCCTGGTTGGCAGCACACAGTCATGTGAATTTGCCTTCTTTAACAATGGAGCCTGCTGCTTGAAATACGTCCTTAGTGTGGAGCAGTTGATCACTGGACCATGTGACCCTGAAGAAGTTGCCAGTGACTCCTTAGGTATTTAATGGAAAGACAGATTTCTTGTGCTTTGCAGCTGCCTAAAGTCTCTCTCCATCCATACTCACAATTTTGTTTTTTCTCTTTCCTCCTCACAGCAATAGAACTTGACCACTACAAAGGGACAATTCCTGCTCGGGGAAAGATCTTTGTACGCGGGATTATTAGGCCGACCCGCCAATTGCACTACATCTGGACAATCTATTATGCCATTTCCACTCCCAAAGGTGAGAAATGGAAAGTATGAAAGCAGCCTCACACCAAGGATATTATTAATGGGGTGGGCTCAGCAGGGAGAGGTTCCACACCAGATGAAAAGGCTCCATCTGTTTGACTACACATCAAACCTATAGAAAACCTGTGCAGCTGAGGAATGAGTGATGTGGTAATAGAAGGTTTAGCTTAAATTTTGGGATTGTGAGGCAGAAAGAGAGCTCCCCTTTTTATCTTATTTGCTTCTATCTTCCCCTATTCTGCCCTCAAATGAATATCTGGCATTGGGGTTCAGGGTCTCCTTTGTTAAACCTGAGGGCTTTCTCTCACAATCGAAGAAAGTGTGGACCCCAACCCTCTTTAGTCATTTGTGGAAAGCTCATATAGATCCACTTCACTGACAGAAATGCCCAAGACTTCTATGTGCAGTAATAGACTGAACAGAGAAGGGAAAAGTCCTTCTGTTGTTCACCCAAAATGCAAACTGGTTTGTAGGCTCCCAAACTGTAACAGGGAGTGGAGAAATTATGAAGGATGGTGCAGAAACCTCAGGGGCTTGTCACCCCTTCCCCAAAAAGTAGATCCCACAAGCTTGACATCTGCCCTCCCTTGACTTAATTGTCAGTAATGATAGCCAGGAGGTGCTGGTGACACTTGCAGAACAAAGCTCAATTCAGCATTATCTGGGGAAAGAAATCATACTACAGTGGTGCCCCACAAGACGAATGCCTCGCAAGACGGAAAACCCGCTAGACGAAAGGGTTTTCCGTTTTGGAGGTGCTTCACAAAACGAATTTCCTATGTGCTTGCTTCGCAAGACGAAAATGTCTTGCGAGTTCCTGCGGGGTTTTTTTCCTTTCCCCCCCTTTTTCCCAAGCTGCTAAACCGCTTATCAGCTGATGGCTAAGCCGCTTATCAGCTGATCTTTAAGCCGCTTAACAGCTGATGCTAAGCCGCTTATCAGCTGATCTTTAAGCCGCTTAACAGCTGATGGCTAAGCCGCTTATCAGCTGATCTTTAAGCCGCTTAACAGCTGATGCTAAGCCGCTTATCAGCTGATCTTTAAGCCGCTTAACAGCTGATGCTAAGCCGCTTATCAGCTGATCCTTAAGCCGCTTATCAGCTGATCTTTAAGCCAGCTAAGCCGCTAATACTGTAGCGCTAAGCCGCTAAACCTCTAATGGGCTTGCTTCGCAAAACGAAAAAACCCGCAAGACGAAGAGACTCGCGGAACAGATTCTTTTCGTCTTGCGAGGCACCACTGTACTGGTCCATCTGGTGCTGTAGCTTCTAGGTTTCAGATAGGGGTCTTTCCTATTTGGAGATACTGGGGATTGACTGAAAGAGCGTCTGCTCTCATAAGATATCCTCTAGCTGTGGCCCCCTTTCTAGGAAAAGCATTTTATGCAGTAGAAAAACACACAGTCTGCAAGAAGTAGCACAGCCTTGAGGGAGATTTGCAGTCCACAAATGTGGGGAAAGGGAGACATTTAACATCTATAAAATAAAAATAAAAGTTTTACTTTTATGATGCCTAGTCTGCAAGTCTGTTTTGTCTCCCCATGCAAGCCGCGAATCCTCTTGGGGAAAAGCAGCCGCTTTGCCAGGTGACAGCAACAGGTGTCTATCCATCCATCTGCATCACGGATGCCTGTGGGACAGGAAGTGCCAGTGGCATCAGTAAGCTGTTTCTCTGGCGACTTTTCTCTTTGGAGGCTCTGAACCAGTATCTGGAGGTAGATCCAACACCACAGGAGCTCACCTTCAGAGTGCCTACCAGGCATAGGTAAGAATAGTTCATCTTCTGCCAGATCCTGAACCCCTAGTTCTTCTGTTTCATACACAGGCATACAGTACTCCTGATTTCCTCACAGTCTGAAACAACAACTTCCTTCCCTTTTCTATTCTGGCAAACAAGTGCTAGGAAATATGGTGTGAGTGTGCGCCAGACTTGGGATTTCCAGCCCCACCATGGAACACCTCCTCATGGATTTTTCTCACATCCTATTTCTCTTTCATTTGAAGCACACGGCTAATCCCTCCAGTTTACACTCCTGTCATGCTGGATTTCAACTTCGGTGCAGCTCCAGTCAGAAGTGTGCCCTCAGTAGTTGTGCTGATGCTACAAAACAACGGGGGGATACCCGTGAGCTGGTGAGTAATCCTCACTTCCTGGCCCTAACGAAGGAGGGAATAGTTAGGACAGCCATGTAGAATTCTGATGGCAGGCATCTAGAACAGCCACCCACCCTAGCAGGAACTTACATAGGACTTGGCTTCTTTAACATGCAAATACACAAAACCTCTGTTGGAAGGACTGCTAGTGGCCAGGTTGCAGGTCTTTATGTCCCAAAGGGCTCCTTGGCCCCCTGTATGGCACAACTAAATGTTTATCGCTTTAGAGATTCCTGCACTGCAGGGAGTTGGAGTAGATGACCCTTGGGGTCCCTTCCAGCTCTATGATTCCATGAACTAAATACATGCACAGTAAAGACAGGGACTGATTGTGTCTGTTAGGAGAAGCATCTTAACAATAAGAGCAGTTCAGCAATGGAACCAATGGCCTAGGCCAGGGTACAGAGGGCTCCCTATTGCTAGAGATATTCATAGCATCAAAGAACTGCACAGTTGGAAGGGACCCCCAAGGGACATCTAGTCCAACCCCCTGCAATGGCAGACTCATACCTAGGAGGCTGAGGATACTCTAGCTCTCAATTACTTTCTCAAGCAAGAAGTTGGACTAGGTGGGCCATCGTCAGCTTTTCCTGGGTGCAGCAGTTTATTTGTTTATTTAAATTTTATGCCTATTGCCCAGCTCAGGGTTGGGGAGCTTTGTCAATGTGACCATAAGGCAGGCTGCTCTCTTGGTTTTCATATCTTGATTCTTTTTGGTTTCCAATATTAAGTGATGCCTTTTGCTTTGTTCTGCCTGCTTCCCAGGGCCTTTCTGTTTCCTTCTGACCAGAGGATTGAAATGGAATACTGGGCAGAAAGCACAGAGTTTGACCCCAGCGAGCTGCATCAGATGCGGATCCAGGATAACCAGCTTTTTGCCATTTCCCCCAAGGCAGGAAAGCTTCTTCCAGGGCAAGAGCAAGCTATACACTTATCCTACAGGTACCTACATGCAGTGGTTCCTTCCTTCCCCAGGTAGAAATTGATCCCAAACCCAAACGCCAAGGTCAACTCCTAATTAGCGTCCACCAGCACAAGGGCCCCTTGAGTATGCCATCTTCTGTCCTTGGGCATTATCAAGGTTGTCTTAAGTGTGACACCCAGGCAGAAAAAGTCACCCTCATTAACATAGCCTTGCACCATGAAAAAGCCAACAGCTGCATGGATTCTATTTCCCCCAAGGCCCAATTTTTCAGTGCTCTGAGTTTGTAGAAAACAAGGCATTTCTAGGTGAACATATCTGTCCAGACATATCTGTCCTTCTGGCACTTTATGCAACAGTTCAGCTCTTAGCAGGTAAATGTATTGTCGCTAATCTGCTGTTTGAGGCAGGATTCTCCTGCTTAAAAGTCTGGAACGGTTTCATCTACGTGTGTTTCTGATATTGGTTTTTTGTTTCCCCCTGCCAGACATGATTTCATTGGCACTGATCGGCTTCCAGTCCTGCTGAAGATCTCCCATGGCCGAGAAATTCTGGTACGATACTGAGCTGAGAGGTTCAGAAACTGTCCTCACTGGTGAGGATTTCTAAAACCCTTTCCTAGAGCCAGTCAGGCTCCTTTAATGGTATAGCAGTAGGAGACATTGTTTCCTGAAGCTGCCTTCTCTTGGATGGAGGGACAAAGTATACCTTTTGGTATTATTATTATTAGTGCTTTTTTTCTAGAAAAATACTCACCATGAAGTTGTTAGAGTAAGTGCTACACTTTAACAACAAAAAAAGAGTGATGCCAGTAGTGCGTACTCTTGAGTACCCCCCCAAAAGCACTGATTATTGTTAATTAAATTTGTATACTGTCCTATACCTGCAGGCCTCAGGTATTCACACCTTAATCTGTCCTAGAACTATAGGTCTTCATGCATAGCCATATTTTATTTCTGCTATTATACTCCCTGCACAGTAAGGCCACATGGATGGCAGAATTTTCCCTTCAGCAAGCACTTTTCTAGGAAGCATCCTCTCATTACCAGGTCTCTGAATCCTCCTCCTTCGCGCAGAGACCTCACTTTTGGCTCACATCCTAACTAGATAACTTTGTGGAGGGCTGTGGGACACATCATTCCTCCCAAGCAGAAACATGAGCCACAGTCCTTTTATTACTTCATGCCATCTTCCCTTATGCCACTCGTGTTTCCTGCATTTGGTTGTCCTCAAATTCTGAACTTTGCCTGCCTTCCCTGTTTTTTTCCTCTCTCTCCTTCGACTTGTCAGTTAGAGTCAAAGTCACCTTGTGCTCCAGTGGGCACCTTTCTCATGGCCCACTGAACCTCAACTAGGTGCCCAAGATTTCCTGTGAGAGTATTGTGTTCCCATCACCCTTTATTTTTCTTTTCCCCGCTGCCCCACTTCAGGGACCATTGTCAGCTGAAAATCCAGCCTGTTGAGCAGGCTGTGAAAACACAAGGCTTAACTGTGCCTTTGTGCAAAGCCCTTGGATGGGCTCTCTTGGCTCTGCCCATTTGGCACAGGTCTTGATGGCTGCCCAGAGGGGCAGCTGAGTGCAGGGGTCCCAGCTGGGGGGCACACATCCTATTCAGCCAGGTGGCCAGAAACTCTTTAACTACATGTTCCCTAAACCTCTTCAGTGGGAGAGTTAAAGAGGAGAATTCCTGACAATGCTGCCAAGCTATTCCCTGAAGTCATACTGCTTCAACTATCTTCGAAGGGTAAGAGTGAAAGACCCTTCATTTCATACTGTTACACTTTCCTCTGTATGGCCCCTCTGAGTGAAGCAAGCGCAAGGTGTCTTCTGCTTTTGTAATCCGTGTGTTTGTGATCTGCATGGTACAAACTAAGTCTATTCCTCACCCCACCCCTACAATTATTCTGCATCTGCAGCTGAACTTTATTGGTGTGACCCTGCAAATGGAGTGCCGATACATTCACTTCACTTCAACCAAGCATATGTTCACGCCTATTGCTATTGGCACCTATGACCCTCCTAAACAGGTGAGGCATCAAAAGTCTTTCTCCCCCACCGCCCCCCCACCCTCCCAACAGAATGTTGTAAAGCAATGAGGAGAAAAGAAAATTCAAAGGTCCAGATCTGTAAGGGCAGGTACCTCCCAAGAGAAGGAACAGTATAGAATTAAAGATAAACAGTGTTTCTGTGCGTTCTGGCCTCCGTCACAGTGTTCCGTTGTGCCAGCAGTGGTTCAGTCATGTTGGCCACATGACCTGGAAAGCTGTCTGCAGACAAACGCTGGCTCCCTCAGCTTGAAAACAAGATGAGCACTGCACCCCATAGTTGCCTTTGACTGGATTTAACTGTCCAGAGGTCCTTTACCTTTACCTAGTTTAGAATTATCAGCATGGAAAAAATTATGGAAAAACACAACAAAATTCTCAGCATGTTACACAATTAGAGAAAACACCCCCAAAATGATCTTCAGATGGCATTTAATGCCCAGCAAACTGGTTAAAATGTATAAAAGAGGCTCCAACTTATGTTGGAAATGTTTAGACAAGGAGGGATCGTTAATCCACATGTGGTGGTAATGCGAATTTGCAAAAAAATATATGCTGGGGAATGATTTACTAAGAACTGAAGAAGATGCTTAAATGTTCCTTTCCCAAGAAGCCAGAAGCATTCCTGTTAGCTAAAATAGGACAGGAAATTCCAGATCAAGTAAAAAACCTCTTCCTTTACGCAACAGCAGCAGCAAGGGTACTATATGCTAAAATGTGGAAGAAGAAAACCCCGACCAAAGACCAGTGGTTGCTTAAACTAATAGAATATGTAGAATTCGCCACGATGATGGCCAAAATAAGAAATACAAAGAGAAAAACAGTATTAAGCAAGTGGAAACAACGAGGAGTATTTAAAAATAAGCGGTATAAATATAAATTTACAAGTAGGGTTAAATATATGAACACTAGAAAACACAACAAAGAGTGAAAGGAGGGGAAGGATTGGAAAGCTTTAGGAGTTGCAGCAAACTAAAGTGACTGGGTTCGCATGTCAAGGAAAGATAGGCTGGGAAGTCCAGATGAGAAGAGTTAGGAGATGATGTATGAAATTGGAATAATTATAACTGACTGTAAATGAAAAATGTGCAAACAAATTAAAAAGTAAAAGAAAAAAAAGAGAAGTAACAGGGTGATAGGTGGCAGAAGAAACGTCATGCTTTGGGCGAGAGTGATGTTACAAACTATAAAGTGAGCATGGGTTTTCTAGTGCTTTTTTAAGGTCAAGGCAGGCATAGGGACATTTGCAGGGGAGGACTGGTCACCAGTTGTCCTTTTCAGCAGCTACTCAATGCCATTTGAATTCATTTCCTGCAAAGGGTTCATCCAGAGTTCCGCTTGTCTCACTGCTTTCTCCTGGAAAACCTGCTATTTAGCACTGAATCAGAGCAAACATCAGTCGGGTTTTCTGTATATTGATGTTTGCTCCGATTCAGCGCTAAGGAGAGGGCTTTCCCTCAGACAGCGGCGGGACAAACAGAAAACCACTCAGACCCTCTGGGTCTGACAGGCACAACACAAGCTGAAAACCGCATGGACCCATGCTTTCTAGGCCTAGGAGAAGTGGAAGTGTGGATGAGCCCAGAGACTGGAATGTCTGACAGGGGGTGGAGAACTGCTGGAGGAGTATTTGCATGGGAGAATCACTTAACACAAGGGTTCAGGACCTCACTTTTTTCCTGTTGATATTTCTCTATAAATCCCCCTCTGCTCCTGCATTTAATTTTCCTTTGTGCCCAGCAGTTAGACTGCACTCAACAGTCCACATAAGGGAAAAGTGGCACTACATGCTCATTTATCACACATTGATTGATCCAGTCTCTTGCATACATATTGTGGGAGAACCTTCTTCATCCTGATTTCATCCAGTCCATTTCATTTGCCACATAGCAGAGAATGATGTAGATAAAATACCTCAAAGAGAATCCTTCTCTCATATCGTTTCCTGAACTGTTCCAAGCGTTCTGAGAAAATACTGCTGGCACAGATTGATATAGAACTTTGGAATTCTGCTAAGGAATAACACTTAAGATTGTAGCTGCCAGGCTTAGGTTTCCTCTAATAGGGACTACATAGTAGAAGACCCAGTAGAAGCCACACCAGACCATGTGAGCATCTTGAAAGCCAGTGCTGACCAGTCTTTCCCCTCTCTTCTTGCAGATCTATGAACTGTACAATGGAGGTGCCACAACTGCAATGTATGAAATCCAAGTGGATGCTCTGATGAAAGTACAGGAAGAAAATTACCAGCATGGGGTGTTTGTCTGCCTGAATCCAAGAGGAGAGATTGGTCCAGGCTTGACAGCACACACGGAATGGATCTTTTCACCATTGGAAGCCAAAATGTACTCGGTGAGGCTGGCACCCTTAAGAACAAGCACTTTCCTTTGGGAGTTTGTGTCTCATAGCATTCCTACCTAGCTGATTAGAACTTTCTTCTTTGACTGCCCTTATTCACAAGAGTTCTAATACATTCCCATATTGTTCATTGCTGCATAACTCCTGCTGGGGCAGCTGCTTCTTGGCCCTTCCAACTTTCAGCCCCCATTGCTGCCCCAAAGCTGCATTACAGTGTGAATTCCTAAGAATGCAAACTTGATATGTGACCAACACCTTTTTATCTGAGAGCTTTTTATGCACAGTCAGCCAAAACAAGCTCCAGGTGCATTTTAGCCTTTGCAGGATATGCTTCCCAACACACTTTTAATCAGGGCTGCCAGAAGGGCCATGGCCCCGGGTGTGGGTGGAGGGGGCATGAACCAGGTGCCCACACACCAGCGCCCCCTCCTGGTGTCAGAGGTACCAACACTCGCCGGGCCATTTGTATTCACCTCCTTGACTTTCATTCCTTACCTTGGGCGAACATGGGAATTGTGGCAATTTCTGCTCCTGTTTCTGTTTCTGATATCCTTAATTGCCACTGGAGAATTATACAACAATCCCTTTTTAAAATGTACAAATTGGGGAATACGGGAAGGAAGAGCTGGGCTATACACCGCTGGTTATGCCTCAGGCAAAATCTAGTGAGTGGACGTAAAATCCACACAACCACGTTCTATACAATTACAGCAGTGACAAGCATACTATCCGTGAAAATTATTGTCATGTTTTCATTAGTTACAAAAGACTGCATTGTGACTGCTGGAAAAACATAGCTGCAAAGCAACACAACCTTGCAGAAAGATACATGGAGATTAACAAATGAGAAACAACTGGGCAGTCATTGCCCAAGGCCACAATGGTGCAGGAAAGCCCTAAAAGTGGGGAGAAACTCTTGGTTTGTGTGCACAGTGGCTTATCAAAAACACTAAAATTGATTAAAATGACTCTGAACCATGCACAACTAGGGCTTAATTTGCAGAATTCAATCCAGAAATCTGTTTCAGTGGTCATCTTTGGCATGTGTAAAATAATAGAAAAGAGTATCATTGAGCATGTAAAAAGCACACTTGCCTTCCTAGGACAGAGATTGTGAGCCTTATAAGCTCTGTTTTTAGATTTGAACTACCGACTGAAATCTGATTGGAACATTTCCCAGCAAAAGGTAACAGGCCTATTTTGCTTCTGTCTCTCCTTGCTTTTCCCTTGGGCTCTGACATGAACATCCTTTCCCTGATTTAACTTGCAAGATAGCTGCTGTACTCCAACAAAGCTGTTTTTGACTCTTATTGAGCACCAGAGTAAAACCAGAGCCCTTCCAGTCGCAGCTTTGTGTTTCGTTTTTCTGCCTAGGTAGAGGTACCTATCCACATCCTTGAAGGGGACTCTGCTCTGATTACCTTCCAAGGCATAGGCTTCGATCCACACGTTATGGGTGAATCAGCACAATTCGACAAAGTGGTTTGTGCTGCGACAACTCCAGGTTCTGCCAAATTAACAGTGCCTGGCCTGGTAAGTATCAAAGGATGGTGTGCTTCTAGCATGGAAGAACGTTGGAGGGCGTAGAACAGAGATTTCAAATTGTATGAGCCCTTGGCACCGCAAGAGCTATACTTCTCTGTGTAGTCCTGTTTCCTCTTGAGTAATGTGTTGTGTGATCCTCCTCTCACCCAAACAGCAATGGCTATCTTTGTGCAATTGGTTAATTTAAACCAGGCCTATGCAACTTGTGGTCCACGAACCACAAAATCAGTGTTGTTTTTTCTTCAAGAACCAGGCATGTAATAGTAGTCTCCTATCATACTGCAGATGTTTCTGGGTTTGCATGTTTTGAAGAACTTTATGTTGTGATATGAACCAGCAGTTTTTTACTGGATAAACCATCTGTTCAATTTGCCCTGTGCTGTTGTCTTGCCAACATGCATTCAGATTACAAGAGCCTCAGTAATGCTATTTTATTTCCACTTCTGTGGCCCATTTTGTTTGTGATTTCTTATTAATTTTCTGGTGCTGTTTGATTTGCTTTGTTTTAAAATGTTAGCCTCCTTGATCAACTATGATATGCCCACAAGTAAGGATGAGTAGCGCTAGGCTTTGCAAAACCCAGATTGTTGACCACTGCAAGAAAGTAACTTGCAAATGAATCATTGCTTTTTGAGAATTGAGTGCTGCTTGTTCAGTCATCTCTGGAATGACACATGATGCTCCTTTGGTAGAATTCTATGGCCAGCTTCAGATTTTGCAAGTGTGGTGTGATTACTTCAAAAACCAAACCAAACAATTCAGTATTATTGAAAGATTCATGCCACTGCTGCAACATTTGTAAATGGAAGCCACAGGGGTTGATTGGGATTGCATGATAGAGTTCAAATGCCAGAGCCTGCAGCTGCAGCAGGGTGCAGCGCTGATGCAGGGATATAGCATGCTGCCCAACCAATCTCCACAATTGCTGCTTATAAATTTTATAACTCTAGTGTAGAGGCCTTACCATGTAGAGCCTTTTACCAACGTTGAAACAGGCGAAGTCAGTCTAATGTGACTATATAGTATGATCCGTTATATATTCAACAGTAGGGAGGTTCTGCATGTGACACCTGAAATATTATTTGAAGACTCACATGCTCTTTCTCCAGTGAGGCTTAAGCTTTCTCTGAAAATATATTCATCATGGATGCAGTGGTGGTGATGGATGAGTAGAGCCATCTCTTTTTGGCCAAAGTAGGAAATGGGGCAGACGTGGCCTGTGTTGCTACGACCATGACCTTCTCCTTCCCCTTTGGGTAGAAAAGAACTGGGAGAGGGGGGAGAACTGGATGAGCACAGAAGGTTGTCCCCTTGAAGTACTGAGGTTTTGACCTATATTTGTGTGTTAACTAAGAATTCTAAATCTTACTGAGATGTTGGTGGGAGGTTTTTGAGATCCTGATTAACCCTTTGCTTCAGCTACACTAGGAGTCTTTTCACAATCCTCCCATACGGATGCCTCCTACTAGGAAAGCATTGTTGTAATTGGATTGCATCTGTAGCTGAGAGTTTTGTGAAACAGGCTGCTACCATTAATCTGTATTTTTTTAGACATGTTTCATGCATATAGTGCTGCTTAAATGTCTGTCACTGGTAGCACTGTGCTAGCTTCCTTTCACTGAGAGGGGTGGGTGGGGAAGGGGGAGACAAGAGATCCCATCTTGTTAGGATAGGGGATCACCCTCTGTTTATTCTCTTTGCAGACGGTGTACTTATCTCATCCCCGGATTTGTTTTGGCAACATCCCAGTCTACAGTAAATGCAGCCGACTCTTTTTTCTCAACAATGCCTCCGAGAATGAGGCCATTGTTTTTTCTTGGCACACTGGGACTTCCAATTCCATGGTGGTGAGCTTCATCTGTCTGATTGCTCTTGGTCCCCTTTGGCAGTGTTGTGGCCTCTCCCACTGTGATGCTGGAGTACTGAAAGCCACATAGCCTCCTTTCCTAATGGTTAGAAGCCATAGCCCTGAAAACGTTCTGGTGGGGATCCATTATGCACTGCTAATGCTTCTGACAACCACTTTCTTTGTTTCAAGGTAATGGACATTATTCCAGAGACTGGAGTTGTGCAGGCTGGGGAGAGCGTCTCATTTGTTCTCACACTGTATGCTGGTGAAATTCCATGCTTCTACAACATAGATTTGATATGTGAGGTGAGGATTAGTGTGTACTTTAGATCATTACTTCTTTGAACACCAAAACCCAAGGATGTTGCTAGATTACTGAAATATACTTGACTCCAATTACATTACCTACTCCTATAGTACCACAGTTGCATATCACCTAGGAAACTTACTGTATGAGGTGACAAATACAACAAACAAGGATGTTGTTGAGCAGGCATGGCTCAATTTCCCCCCTCATAATTTCTCAGGGTGCTGCAGTTGAGGTTCGTCCTTGGTCCAAACACTTGTAGTTGCTGCTCTGCAACCACCTTGTTCCCTCTTTGATTGTGTGTTAACTAAGAATTCTAAATCTTACTGAGATGTTGGTGGGAGGTTTTTGAGATCCTGGTTAACCCTTTGCTTTGATTGGTTGGACAAGTTATTGTTTCCACACATTTGGTGTATAAGGTCAGAAAATAAAGTCAGAGTTTTGTTAGAAATTCATACTTAGCAGACATATGTCTATAGGCAGAGCAAGTTTTTCATCATCTCAGAGTACTGAAGTAGCAGGAGTGCAAACTTGCAGAATGCTGAGTTAATCATAGGTTTGTCCCCTGTAGATTTTTACCCAGCACCCACTTGATCAGTATGAGAAAGAGCTGCAAGAATGGGAAGCTGAGAAGGCGCGCCAGGCTGTGGAGTTCACCATCACAGAGAAAGACCTGGATACACAGAATAACCTGAAACAGTTTCCAGTGGTAAGTTGGCCTTCCAGAGAGGGAGATTTTAGCACTGAAAAAAGAACAGTACAGCTTCTTTGGATGGGTTTTCTGTTCAAAGTGACACCTGCATCACATGATTCTATTGGTGGTTTGCAAGCACATGTAGGGCAAAAAGTGACTTAAGTGAAGATACGCATCTTTGTAGTGGTGGACTGGTCAGGCACAAATGAGACTTGAGTCCCACAATTGAGAAAGCTATTTGAGTATTCAGACTTTACAGATACCGTATTTTTCGCCCCATAGGACGCACCTAGTTTTTTGGGAGGGAAATAAAGGGAAAAAAAATTATTTCCCCCCCCAGGTGCGGGGCTGAGCCTGAGCTTCCCCCGACCCCAGCCCCCAGAACAGGCTGCTATCCGCAAGCGTAGAGCTGCACGAAGCTTGGGGCGTGCTGAGCTCAGCGCGCCCCAAGCTTCTGGGTGCCGGCTGGTGGATAGCTTCCTGAAGCCTGGAGAGCGAGGGGGGTCGGTGCGCACCGACCCCTCGCTCTCCAGGCTTCAGCGAAGCCTGCATTTGCCCCATAGGACGCACACACATTTCCCCTTCATTTTTGGAGGGGGAAAAGTGCGTCCTATAGGGCGAAAAATGCGGTATGTATTTTCAGCCATCTTCTGGTTGCTTTCCCACATATAGTTTCCAAATGTAAATCGGGGGAAGACAAAAGTGATATTAGGAACCTATTAGCAACTAAGCTGCTTTCTGTGGGGCAAGCCCAAGACATTGCAGCACTTGAGGTGGAAAATCCAAGCGGCATCCTCCTCACATTAATTAACCCAGGACACAAGCCCCCAGGAAGTTCTCCTGCACAAACCTAATTAACGACTGTTCATTTCAGTGAAACTTGCACAGGAGAAATTCCAGGTGAATTGTCCCCGTGTATTAGATCTGCCTGCTTCACACTCATAAAAACTCATCTTCTTTTCATTCATGTCAGATACAATGCTCTGCAAATTTCCTCTTCTGATGATAACACTTGTCAGGATTCCTGCATTGGCACCTGTCCTCATCTATCTACATATGCTAATTTGCATGTTGAAAATAAAGCCAGGATGTTTAGGGCCCCTCCAGACCACCTGTTTGTTGAGCATTCATCCTTATTTGCTTGCAGGGTGTTTATATGTGCTCCTGTTAGGCGCTTGTCCATCCCACTTTACAACACATTTCCCCATCACGTTGCAAGTGACAAAAAGTCTGGGGTTTGTTAAGTGGATGTGTTGCTTTCATCCACTTTAATGGCAAAAACCTAACATTCTGCTATGCACTTGATTCCCTCCCACAAAATACTGACATTCTGGAGGTGCCTTTTAGAAGGAGCACATTAAGAAAAAGAGGGGGGAACCAGTTCCATAACTGTTCTGCAGTTTTATGCAAACCGTGTCACGAGTTGGCAGATTTTCACAGAAGTTTACTAAATTCCTGCCATTCAGCACAGAAATTCAAGGCCATTTCACAAGTTACGTGAAGGCAAACTTGGATTTTTGGTTAGGATACACTCAGCAGGCAGCTGCAGCCAATTACAGCTCCCTGACTAGTGTACTTGTACATGTTATATGAAAAGGCATGTTATGAAGCACAGCTATATGCCTTTTCAAAAATGCAGAGGAATCTCAGGAGGCTGTTGTTGTGAGCAGAAGAGGAGCAAGGGAGAAAAGAATTTTGAACCTTTTCTCTGTAGGCAATTTCCTCGATATCTCTTACACACATTGTTGTGATTGCTATGTTTTTAACTCTGTATTTTCATTCTGTTTGCAAATTGCAGAGTATTATTGCATTAGGGAAGGAAGGAAGGAAAGAAGGAAGGAAGGAAGGAAGGAAGGAAGAATTTCCCCCTATGTTGTTCCAGATTATCCATCTAGAACCTCACATGGGGCAAAGCAGTTTGAGGAAAATATGGCTGGTACAGAAAGGGTTAAGCCCCTGCTCCATTGACTGTTGCTCCCCTCTGCTCAAAACTGCACCTTCCTTTGGCTCTTTTACAGTAACAAACAAAATTGCCAGGGCTTTGTTATAAACATTTGCATATACTTTACTTTGCACCATTGAGTATCTTACTTTATGTCATTGTGTAACAGCATCATGGTTATGTTTACTATGACTTTCTTCCCTTTGTTTAGGGGGCTTCAAACTTGGCGTCAGCAAAGCTTTCTGCCACACATCCAGTGATCCGGAAATACAAGGTAATAAGTTGACTGTTACCTTCTCTGAAGTGGAATATGTTGAGATTTCTGAGGGTGACTGATAGGGCAGTGAACCAATGGGGCTCTTATTTCAGAGCTAGGATGCTTGATTAAGAATTTGGCATTTTGGTGACAGAATGGAAGTGCCCACGCACACAGAATAATTGTGTGTTGCTATCAAAGCATTTGTTGGGTCTGTTTTGACTGTACAGCTTTTCTGTATTATTTGAAAATGCTTTGCTGCAGGGTGGGTAGCAATCCAGTATGATGATCAGGAAAAGTGCATTTTGGGGGCATATGGATTATCTAAAAACAAGAGCTAGTCCCCACCACTTTGATGTATGTGTCAGATTTCTGTCTGCCTTTCCACTACACTGCACTGCATAGTCCATTTTAAATACTGATTTTGTAGTTGTGTCCCATTACTCCCTGCTCCCCAGTGGTTTAGGTGAGCTGCCTGCCTTTTAAAAATGTTTACTGAACTACTATTTAAATGTTGATGCAATCCAAAATCTCTTCACATTTTTTTAAAAAATGTATTGTTTGTGTGTGGGGCGGTGGTGGTTTAATTTGCAAAACTGCTCTGGGGAGGTATGGGATCAAAAGTTACCACTACCAGCCAATCAGTGCTGTGCAAAAACAGCTTCAGCTTCCAGCCTACAGAATCAGTTTTCCTTAAGAAAGGAATAGTCATATAGTCTAACCACAATGTGGCAAGCAGGCTTCCTGGGCACAGCAACTACCGAGAAGGGTCATCTGGTGTTTTGGAGTGTGTTGTCATCAATATGCTGAGGACACATAGTTCTGTTTCTCTGCATGGTAAACCAGTGCCTGACTTTGGTAATGGGCTGGATAAGGGTGTTGGGGTGGTTCTTCTGTCCAGAGAAGTTGCCTGTCCCATGCTGTGGAACTGTGTTTCAGCAGTGATTTTGCAAGCATCCTTGCTTTTGACTTTCAGGGGCCTCTTGAAGACTACTTGGGCCAACAGACCTTTGGAGCTGTTTAATTTTGATTAGCCTTACTGATTATCTGTATTCTTGAATTTTTAATTTCATCTTTAAATGATGTTTTATGTTTGAGCAGTATATGCTACCTTGATATTTTGTGATATAGCAGCACAGAAAAAAAATTCAGAATATATATATATATATATATATATATATATATATATATGTGGTGCTTGGACGGGAATCACAATTTTGCTGAAGGAGCAGGTTCTTAGCTTGAGGGTACTTCTAAGTCCAGTACTGAGCCCCTAAGAATGGTGCGGTGAAGGTTCTGAGTAATTACTGTATTTTTTTATATATAGTCCATTTTTTTCTCCACACATTTGTGTTTGAGAGAGAGGCCTTTGCACAGCCTAATTCATGGGAGAACCAAGATGAAGGCTGAAAATTGGAACTGTGTATAAAACAGAGAGAAACCCCAACCTGTCTTTTAAGCAGATTTGTTCTGGTGGTGGTGGTTGTTATTTAATCTGTATACTGCCCTTCATCCAAAAAGACAGGGTGGTTTACAACATACAAATACAAAATGAGAACACAAAATACATAGTGGTGGTTGGCTTTGGAGGGCTCCAACCCACTCATTAAAGAGTACCTTTTAAAATCTACCCCAACAGACTCTTCCACCCATTAGAAACATCCATGTGCCTAACCCTCCTGCCAGCCGCAGCCAGAGGAAGCTCACGAGGAACAAAGATGCCAGCAGGTTGTGGGTGAAGCCGGAGCCCCCCAAGCCCTTCCTCATGCACTTGGGGGTTACAGCCAGGTCACACTCAACTGATGACTACCTGGTCAACTTCCCTAATGACCTGACCCAGCACTTCCTTTTCCGGTAAGGCCTTGCCCTGTCCTCAGGTCCCCAGGGGAGATGTTGGTTCTCTGTATATTCTCCTACAAGACAAATAAATGAGATGCTGTTTGTTACAGGCATCCAAAATGGTTTCTTCAAAAAGCAATTGGTGGTATTCAATGCTGGTCTTACTCAGAGTAGACCTGGTGAAGTTAATGGACATTATTATTATTATTATTAATTTATATACAGTGATACCTCGGGTTACATATGCTTCAGGTTACATATGCTTCAGGTTACAGACTCCGCTAACCCAGAAATAGTACCTCGGCTTAAGAACTTTGCTTCAGGATGAGAACAGAAATCGCACGGCGGCAGCAGGAGGCCCCATTAGCTAACGTGGTGCTTCAGGTTAAGAACAGTTTCAGGTTAAGAACGGACCTCCGGAACGAATTAAGTTCTTAACCCGAGGTACCACTGTACTGTAATACTGATATGTCATGATGGCTTCTAAGTGGTTTACAACTATAATATCAATCCATAGTTAAAATAGAGAACACTAAAACTTCCTTTATTAAAATATACAATAACACAAATAATTAAAAAACATAACAATTAAAAAGTTAAAATAATAAAATCACAAGTTCAGTTCAGGGGAAGCTTGCTTTACAACATGACCAGCATATTAATTTCAACTGGTCTACACCATCTACTCTAGGTAGGACTTAGTTGAATACAACCCAATGCATAAGGAAATTGTGAATCTTGCGTAAATCTCACTCTTACGAAAGCTGCTTTACATGTTGTTTTTCTTAACATTTGTATGTTGGAATTGAGAAAAGCAGTGTGTGAATCTGATTCCTTCCAATCCACTGCTGGGGATTGTGGGGAAATTTAACAAACTGAGCCAGAGGACAAAAATCTTGTTGGCTTCTTTCTAGATACCCTGTGGTTCATGGCATTCTCGTATCATTTGACAAGGCACTTTAATTCTCCTTGTTGTCCTCTTTCCAGCCAACTTAAGAAGACGACAATCAGAAGGAATACTCTGAGCAGGAGCAGGAGTAGGAGTAGGAGTAGGAGCAGGAGCAGGAGCAAGAGTGAATCTCCAAGTATGATGGCATTAGCAAGCTGCACGGAACAGGAGGCACAGCTAGTGACAGACATGCTGTCGACAGTGATCAAGTGGGTGGCTCCTCAACCAGAATCCTGCTGTTCAAAGGCAGAATATGTTTTCATAACAGTCTGCTCAGATGCATAGAATTGCAAGGCTAGGCGTTTGCATTTGTCACATTTGCCTTCTCTTCCTCCAAGGTGGTCAGCAATACTGTACAGGCGTTCACACTGTGTCCTCACAGTAATCCTATGAGGTGGGGAAAAGGCCATAGGGAACGGGTGTGGCAGGGTACATGCTTGGCATGCAAAAGGTCCCAAGTTCAATTCATGGCATCTCCCGGAAGGGCTGGGGAAAGACTCCTGTCTGCAACTCTGGAGAGCTGTTGCAAGTCAGTCAATAATGAGCCACATGGGCTCTGGATAAGGCAGATTCCTATGCTCTTGCGTGGATTAGGCTGAGACTTGGCATTATCCAAGGCAACAGAGTGAACCTCATGACTGAAGGGAGATTTGAAAGTCAGGTCGTCCTGGTCCAAGTCCACTTCACTGTAGTGACTAAGTAACATGAAGGTAAATTAGTTCAAATTCCTGCAGGAAAGGGAAGATTTAATCAATTGTGGACATAGGGTGATTATTATTATTATTTAATTTGTATACTGCCCTTCACCCAAAGATCTCAGGGTGGTTCACAACAGAAAAATGCAAAATACATAAAACAAAGACAAACCAATAACCTCCCTCCCACAAACACATTAAAAAAGCCATCAAATGTTAACCAGCCAAGCGCCTGGTTGAAGAGAAATTTTTTTCCCTGGTGCCAAAAGGTGAAGGGACCAGGCAAGCCTCGCTAAAGAGAGCATTCCACAAATGGGGAGCCACCACAAAAAAGGCCCATTCTTGTGTTGCCACCCTCCAGACCTCTTATGAAGGAGGCACATGAAGAAGGGCCTCAAATGATGATCACAGGGTTGGGGTCAGTTCATATGGGGAGTGGCAGTCTTTTGAGCTTTTGCATCTTTTGTTCTGCTTTCTTGCTGATAATTCACCATGACATCTCACTGCAGCCAATTTTACTAATTTAGTGTGATGTGGGGGAACCTATATTCAGGGAAGACTTCCAGTACCTTTTTCCTACACGTATCCCTTTGGATGTATACCTGGATAGTCTAAAGGGTACGCTGGCTTTTCATATTCCCAGGGTTTGGGGGCAGAGGGCAACAGTGTGACAAAGGCAGCCAGCTCTGTCTTTCATTCCAAAGTGAATTCTCCTGACATTCTAGGGGGCTGCTGGAGGAAAGCCAGTTCCAGGAAGCAGTGATCAGAAGCCTAGCAGAGCCCACACCCTACTTCTGCCAGTTCTGGAGTGAGGAGTCAGCCAAACAAAAGCACAGCCCAGGTGGTACCTCTACAACACCAACTTCCCCAGAGTTTAGCCCTAAGTGTAGAGCAGAAGATGAAGATGCTGGAGGAGTACAAGAGAGATCTCCTACAGAAACTTCAGAAGCTCAAGAGAGTCTAAGTGTCATTATTCGGAAGGAACAATTCCGGGAGCAGAAAGAAACCATTATCAGGTGAGCCAAATTGAGGGGCATATCTAAGTAGGGGTTCTCAGCAAAATAGCTATACTCTGGTGACAATACTTACATAATGCGAAAGATGCACAGAACAATGGGCAGGATTCAACAACGTTTTTGAGCTAGTGTCCTGACTTAAAAAATATTTAAAAGAATGTCACTCATTCCATGTCCCTGCGGCTCACCTATGTCCTTAAAATGCTAACTCTTGTCACAATATTCCAAATTTCAAAATATTGCAAAGCGACACATTTTAGGTTATATTCTGCACTATCAAAGTACCTGTTGCTATATCATGGGATGCATTTCTCTTCCTCCACAAAAGCCAAAAGCAGCCATTCATGTCTGTGGGAGAAAGTAAAGCAGCTGTAACTGGAGACATTGAAGAGGTAGTGCAAAACTTGGCCTCATCCCTGATGTTGAGCCCATCAGTATCTGAGATGGAGGGATGGTTTTTCCCCTCCACTCCAGTATATTCCCTTTAGAAAGCAAAGGGACAAATACATTCCTATGGGAGAAAGAAATGAGACTGCAGTCTGGCACATACTTGAGCAAGGGACAAAGTTTACTCCCTTCCCTGACAGGACTGTTGCTTTTCTTTTGCCCATAGAAGTGAGCAACCCCTGACTTCTATGGACATCTAAGAGAAAAAGTAAATACAATCCATCACAGTGATGATCCTACTACTCTGAAGTTGAGAAGGATTCCAGTGTATTAGAGAGAAGCAATGAATCTGTGCCTAAGCTTCAGCCTAGAACCTCTCTTACATTTACTAGCCTGGTGTGTGTGTGCTGGTACTTTCTGAGTCCCATCATAGACATTCAGTTCTATATATGGATTCATCTATTCATCTGTCCTGTCTGTAAACACACCCTTTCAATAAAACTGGTTTAGCTTTTTTTCATTCAGGCCAGTGTGCCTTTGGTTTGTTAGAACTTTGCCAACTTGTCAACTATGCTATTAAAAAGGTAGCGAGTAGGGTGGGCACTATTCTGTAGTACCATTCTGTAAGCATGCTTGGAAACACCAACTTCCCTGGACAGGGATAACTGAAATGCTCTTTTCTCTAAAGGTTGCCAGCATTTTCAAATCTGACTGAGATGGTGCTGGAAAACACCATCAGAAACGTTCTGGTGGAGGCCAGTCGTGGGGAGGTAGTGCTGACAGCACGACCCAGAATCATTGCACTCCCTACTGTTTTCTCCCAAAAGTGAGTAACGGGGTATGAAATAATAATAATAATAATAATAATAATAATAATAATAATTAATAAATTATTATTTCATTTTTGTATGAGCCTAGAACAAAAGGATAGAAGAACTTGGTTGATGCCTATTTAGTAACTATGAAAGCTTAGTAGCAGAGGGTCATTTATGCCCTTGTGGTTGGAATGTTCGTCCATCTTTTCTTTTGTATGCTATTGGTTTCCTTTTTTGAGTGTCTCCCCTTGTGGTGTGATTGGCTTGCTCAATGGCCACGGAATGGAAGCACAAAAGATGAGGAAAATGGGTATATGGTTGAAGTTAAAGGAGATGGTGAATAAAGGGAAAGAAGGCTTGGGGGAGGAAGAGGTGGAGTGTGGTGAGTGCTGTGGGTGCTGTGGCCTCAGGTGCAATTTCGAGAGAGGTCTGCGCAAACAGATGACCCCACAGTAGGCTCCTTCCTTGGCTGTGGTGCTTGTCCAGGGGAGGAGAGGAAGTGAGTGGGCAGTAGCACTGCCACCCACCCTCCTTGGCTGTGGCACTCCTTGTGCCCAGTGGCAGCAGCTCTGCTGGTGGGTTACTTCTGACCCAGCAGCAGAAAGCAGAAGTGGTGGTGGCGATGCTGCCACCCACCCTCCTTGGTTGTGAGGCGCTTTACGCCTGGCTGCAGTAGCAGACATGACCCAGTGGCGGAGGGCAGGAGGAGAGTGGGCAGCAGCTTCCCTGGCACTGCCAGCATACACTCTGCTGCTGGCCAGAGGAGAATGGTAAGAAGTAAAAGCAGTAAGGAATCCACTAAGGTTAAGCCTGGAGAGGGGTGCATCAGTCAGAATAGAAGGTTCTCATGGTACCTGCTGCTACACAAGGAAATCAAGGAAGAAGGTATGAGAAGTGTGCCATTGGGATCCTGTTAGGTGGTATCTTCCCAAGGTCTCTAGCAAAGAACATGCCCAGCCATGCTTTTTTTAAAGTCAGAAACTGGACCTGGGGCTTTTGAATACTTTTTTTAGTATTATGAAGTTGTAAAAACTGAAATGGAGCTTTTTATTTCAGAACCATCAGTCCCATTGCTCCAATGCACAAACCGTCTCTGCTCCACCCCACCACAGCACCACTGACCTGTGCCTCCAGAGAGAACAAGGACTCTGAAGGGCAGCGGCACATCATCTTGCCCCCCTAGGGGCTTGGAGAACTCTGGTACCACACAAGTCCAGTATTCACATCTGGCTAGTCCCTGTAGGAGCCATGGTGCTACTGGAAAGCTGCTTTCTTGGAGGTGGGTCAAAGGAGAAGTGACTTGCAGAGAAAGCTATGTGACCCTACCCTATTCAATAATAGCACGGGATCTTTATCATGCAGCCTTCAAAATACAACTCTGGTTTGCACCCAAGAAGAAGTGGTTTCACTTGTGCCATGTGTGAGAGAGATTATTTTTTCAAATTAAGATGACTTTGTTGTCATCTTGGGAAGCCTCTTGTATTGTAAGTGTTCAACTTTCCCTCCACCAAGGGGCAGTGCAGTCTAGTTTGTCAGCGCTCCAGCCTCCGCAGAGGACAGCACAGGGTGCACTTTTCCTTGCTGCTACGATTCCTGCATAATGAAACCTGGCAACCAGATATGCAAGCCAGAAAGCCTTTCTGAACACTACAAACCAAGATTAAAATAATACAAACTTGACGGAAAGCCAACTGGGGTGGCCTGAGCCTCAGCACGCAGCTGTTTAAGAAACAGGCCGTTTATGGGAGACTCCTCATTCTGTCATTCCTTTTAAGTTTCCAGGAGCTAGAGGTCTGCAAACCTTGAAGGTGTTTTTTTTTAAGGCTAGATCACCACACAAACATTTTCAGAATGCTATACATTGTCGGGCTTGAGCCACAGAGCTCTGAAGTTTTGTAACAGCAGTGTGTTCCAGTTTCTAAACATCACCAAATATACTCTCCTAGCAGCTTGATTTGCCTCTTCCAAAGATCTCTTTTGAGTGTCCTGTTTTTGAATTTGCAGAGGTATCTATCCAAAATGTATTCTAACACACACAAGCATCTATGAAAACTGGAACAAAGAATTTGAAGTGTGAGAGGTAGCATGATCCTGTGTTCTCTGTTAAGCAGCAACCAGCCAGCCAGCCAGCAGACTGACAATAAACCAACGGGTACACCATTCACTGCAATGTCTTGTGTGCAAAAGCTTTACCTCATTATAGAATTATAAACTTTTCTGTGAATGGTGTGGACAGTAGTCTTGCCTTATCTCTTTAGGTTAATGTCATGGCTATCATCCTTGATCAACATTCCCCCCCCCCTTTTTTTGACAATGCTGAATTGCCATTGTGCCTAACCCATCCATTTGTCAGAGCTGCCTTGTTCATTTTTAGCAAAGATTTTAACTTATTTCACCATCTCCTCTCAAGGGCGCCTGGCCCCAATCATTGGGGTATGTGTGGTGGTCTAAATTCAGAATTTATTGAGAAAAGCAACCGCTCCCCCAATTGCCAAACATGCAATTTTAGGAGGAAGATATGGGTATGAACAGGGCACATGCAAAGGTTTCTGTAAGGTTGGTGAGAGCAAAAAAATTAAATGAAACGTGACAGGGCATGATGTACAGACATACCTTCAGGATGACAAATGCCATGCAACCAAATATTGTGCTTCTGTTTCTGGAGCAGAGGCTCCTGTGACTAAAACAGCATGAGAAGAGTACTGAAAACAGTGGCTTGATTCAAACAGCAGTTTTGTTCAACAATAAACACTTTTGTTCCCTCCACAGTGTCAGTACTCAAGTAGCTACTTCAGCAATATCTTCAACAACTCTCGCCATCACAGACTTCTCATGCCACCTTAGAAGGGGGACTTAACACTTGAGCCCATAAGCCTTTTAAAAACAAAGTATTTGTACTGCAGCTAATTTATTTCAGAAAGTCTGAATTGGCTTTAATTTGGCATATATAGGGCTGCTCTTTTTTCCTGGGTATCATTACCTATCTTCAAACCAGGGCAACAGCTCTATTAGCTACTTGGTAGTATTTAGGTGTCAAATGGAGACAGCCTAGGAAGAATTGCAAGAGAAAGAAAGCACAGGGGCAGCTATCTATCATGGCTGTATTGGAAACACTTAGAGAGGATGCGGCCAAAACAGCCGTGTCCATGCTGCTTAGCAGCCTGGGAACAGCAGTATCTTCCCCGTTGCGCAGGTGATGGCTGAAGCTTGGTGGAAAAGGTGGGGAGGGGTTGGTGCATTGCATAGAGAGCAGCCATGGGTTGCGTACACGTGAACTGGAATATGGTCTGATGTGATTAAATTATTGGGGAGGCTGGCTGCTCGAGGCCTCGCTGTTATTAGTAAAGCACCTCTGCTCTGTTCTTTAGCCTGCACATTGCTTCTCTTTTCTGTGAGCTGTTTTAGCTAGCTGCCTTGAGAGGGAGACTGACTAAACCCAAGAGAGAGCCCCAGAGCCAAGCTATGCCATAGCTTCATTATGTGATGGCAAGCAGCACCATGCTAGGCCCTCAAAAGGAAGCTGAGCATGGCGCCTCCAAGCTGAGGAGCTTCAGGGCCAAAGGAACATGACAATAATTGTGTGAATGCAATTACTGTGCACTTCCCCCTCAGTCACAGTCTGAGGATCCTGCGAGATGTGGAGAGTAGTTTAACACTTTGCCTTCCTGCCACATTCCTGGTCCCAAAAATGCCTTTCTGAAGCTGCTATTTGCATTTCAAGTGTAGAAACATCTCTCTCTCTCTCTTTTGTTTTTAAGCCTGGGTCAGCAGCAAGGAAGCTGAAGAGTTAAACTCACCCCTCTCTCCCCACATGGTCCCATGGTCAAGCTTCTTCCTGGCTGATGTACATAACTGAAAAGAAAAGTGCACATTAATTGTAGTCATGTAATTAACATCTACAGTGGTACCTCGCAAGACGAATGCCTCGCAAGACGAAAAAGTTTTCCGTTTTTTGAGTCGTTCCGCAAGACGAATTTCCCTATGGGCTTGCGAGTTTGTTTCCTTTTTCTTAAAGCCGCTAAGCTGCTAAGCCATTAATAGCCGCTAAGCCGCTAATAGCCGTGCTTCGCAAGACGAAAAAAACGCAAGACGAAGAGACTCGCGGAACAGATTAATTTCGTCTTGCGAGGCACCACTGTACTTGGCAGTCAGGTTTAGCCCTGTGACTGTCTTGCTTACTCCCTTGCAGGATCACAAAAATAAACCAACTCATGTTTGAACCACAAAGTGCTGTTCTATTGTAGCAGCATAATGCTGAATAAGAAACAAATAAGTGCTTTATGCAGCCAGGATCTGGTGCCTTGCCAGCAATCTAGCTTCCTGGAATTGCTACTGGAATTCTTGTTTGCCATGAGATAGTTTCTCGGGGAGGAAAAAACCCTCGCCCAATCTGGGGGGAAAGGCTATTAGCTAGACACCAACCTTTGCTCCTGTGCCTTTAACATAAGTTTGAACAGATGTTGGTTGTGAAAATGATTGCCTTTCTACCTTGACAAGCTGCTTCTACACATCACACATCAAGCAACAGTTAAAAAGCACAAGAGCAGGCCAGGTTGAATGTGTTTGTATTTGGTCAGCTGGCAACCCCACAAGCCATGATGCAATCACTGTAGGCAATCTGACTCCCAGCCTTGACTAACTATCCTACCTTATTCACTCCTCCCCCCCTCCGGGAAAACACACCTTTCTTAGTTTGTCTGTTATCTCCCCACCCACTGCAACACTGCTTTTAGTTCTCATTTGCCCTGTAGTATCCCCTAGACACCCAAGCTTCATTCATTTTTGATTCTCTATTCTAAAGAGCATTATATATTGTCAGTGGCTCTTCATTGTTGAAATAATTGTGACTGGAGATACAAAAACACAGAATTATAAAAATACTTCTGTTCAAATGTACTGAGAGGGGAAACAACTTACTCATGTGTATGAACCATGTTTCATACATTTCCGAGCACAGTTCAAAGTGTTGGTGCTGACCTTTAAAGCCCTAAACGGCCTTGGTCCTGTATACCTGAAGGAGTGTCTCCACCCCCAACGTTCAGCCCAGACACTGAGATCCAGCACCAAGGGCCTTCTGACGGTTCCCTCATTGCGAGAAGTGAGGTTACAGGGAACCAGACAGAGGGTCTTCTCGGTAGTGGCGCCCACCCTGTGGAACACCCTCCCTTCAGATGTGAAGGAAATAAGCAGTTATCCTATCTTTAAAAGACATCTGAAGGCAGCCCTGTTTAGGGAAGTTTTTAATATTTAATGCTGTACTGTTTTTAACACTTGATTGGGAGCCGTCCAGAGTGGCTGGGGAAACTCAGCCAGATGGGCGGGGTATAAATTATTGTTATTATTATTATTACCACAGGCCTGTAAACAGAGCAAACCAATGCATGTCTACTCAGAAGTAAGTCCCTCTGAGTTCAGTGGAACTTGCTCTCAGGATCATAGCCTAAATGTGTAAAGGTTTATCAATACACAAATTACCCCCTGATAAATTGATTCTGGATATATGGTTAAAAAATCAAGATTATGAGGATAAGGTTTTAAATATGTATTATGTAGAAGAGATAAAACACCATGATAAAAATTTAATGTTTTAGGATTCACAGTCTAATTGTTAGTTCCATTGTTAGTTCCATTCTGCTTTGTCTTGTACAAAATTTATGTAATGGGGAACAATGACAGGAACATGCACTGATACGAAGACAAACCCCTATTTGCTTTTGTTTTCTACTCTCTTCTACTATTAAAAGACTAACAATGTAAAGAAATTTTGGAAGATTCTGGTCTAATATCCTGTGAATTGCTACAACAACAACAGCAGCAGCAGCAGCAGCAGCAGCAACAACAACAGTTTTGTGCTATCTGGATTCCAGCTTGCAAAAAAAATGTTGCAGCTTTTGTAGGATCATAATTCACAAAATGTGGGAGCGTGTTGAGAAAGAAAAAGATTAACCAACATATATGGAGCATCTTTCATAACTTCATGCAACAATTTTGAATGTATCTAACATATGAGGTGACGTGTTTAGCCAAAAATCTTCCACTGTTTTCATACACTTCCTAAAATGTACAGTAACATTTAGTTCATTTTAACTGTTGCTTTCACATAGTGCACATTCCTGCTTGGTTTTCCATCAGTGGTTATGCCCACCAGAAGCCCAGACCCTTTGCACAATTGAATATCCTTCCCCCCCCCATACATACTGTTTCTCAAAGAGTAGCCTTTTGTCCATCGTTGGTCCTCTTGTTAAAGGGGTGTGTACAGACATCCAGGTTTTTTTGGCAAATCACCCCACCCTGGAGCGTTTTGATTATGGAACACAGTTGTCCTTCCTTCACACTGAGGCTCTGCAACAGGGAAAACCGGTTTTACCAGTACACAGTCTTCTTCTTGCTGGCAAATCTCCTACCCTCACGCTATAAGCAATATTTTTTTATTAATTGAAGTGTGTTCTTGTGTAATCGTCATGGGCACATGTGCCTATGACATCACTTATGACAATCAACCCCCCCCCCAAGCAATTGTAATGAATTTTAAAGGGTTAGATCCTCATTCCTGATTTCAATGGAAAATGACTATCCCTATTCCCTGGTGCCCTGTTGGTTCCCCAGATTCAAAACCCATCTTTCCCCCTGGGAACACCCCCCTTTTGTTTAAAGCAGTGATGGCCAAACTTGGCCCTCCAGCTGTTTTGGGACTACAATTCCCATCATCCCTAGCTAACAGGAGCAGTGGTCAGGGATGATGGGAATTGTAGCCCCAAAACAGCTGTTTGGCCATCACTGGTTTAAAGGAACAAACATTTATAATCAGTAGGGCTATAGTTCTTGCTACAGGACCCATTTGAACAGATGCACAAAGTTAACTGACAGAGAGCATCATGAAGAATGTTGGTCCTTTAAAAAGATAATTCCACACTCAATGACCTGAACATGCATGAAGCCCAGATCCTTCTTGGTCAAGTTGCTGCCCAGCCAGGGACCCTCTATTTTCTAACACATAGTAGCATCATTTAACCAGTTAGGGTCACTGATTAATGTCCTCCTTCCTAAATTATACTGTGTGTGGATTCTGATCTGAATTATAACTGGTGCTATCCCACTGTCATTCTTGATGTAAGTGACATGTTTTAAAATGATATCCACATCAATACATATGTGTTATATATAAAAGAGTTATCTTCATTTTTTAAAAAAACAAACTTCAAAATAATATTTATTTCAATTCATAGTCTTGCTTTTAACAATGAATGGGACAAGACAACCTGGTGAATTTTGACATTAGATGGACAACACACACCTATTTCATTTTACCACAAAATGTCTTGCCAAATCTTTGTCTAAGGTCAGAATGCTAAAAATCAATGATATCCATGTCTTATGAGGACATTGCCATCTTGGATATCATTCTGCATGTACAGTACAGCTACTGCACATTTCTATCTAAGATGACAACTCAGGCACAAAGACGTATTTGAGAGGCAAATTTCACCAGGAGCAGCTCTTTCCAGCACCACCAGGTACAAGCAGGGGGTACAACAGTTGTGCATTTCCCACCTGACAGCCTTTGGGGGGGGATCTTTGGGCCAGGTGTGATCCTCAGACCTGTTAAACATTTAACACCTGCTGTATCTCTCCATTGTTGGTCTGAAAAAGAGAAAGAACAAAAGCAGTGGATGGATCACCTGTTGGCAGGCTGTTCTTTGCAGGCTTATGATGATGATGATGATGATGCTTTCCTTCAGGCAACTGGTGACTAAGGGTCCGGTTTTGTTGGCTAGGACAGGGTGTCATTCTATGGCATCCTTGCTATAAGTGGAGGTGGGGGAATGGGGAAGAACATCAGTAAGACAAGATGGAACATCATAAGACAAGATGGAACATCATGCCTGGGCTGCTTTAATAAATCTTTTGAGAACATGGTATGTCCCCTGGTATATAACAAAAAAACAGGTAAATTGTTTGGGAAAAGGAAAATGGCCATTAGAATGTCCTGTATTGTTCATGACAGTTCCAACAAAATGCAATGCAGTGGCCACTGGCTGGCCCCTTCAGGAAAATAAAGCCCTGTCTTCTGTTAGCCCCACCTGCCTATCTTTTTATTTAGAACCATTCCAGAGGGTGACACTGACTGCCCGTGTTGTCCTTGAAGAACTCAACAGGGAGAAAGAAGGGGACAAAACAAGAATTAGTTGGCTCTGCTTACCATTGTCTCTTGTTCCACCTACTGCTTGGGCTCACTGCCTTCCGCCCCAGTAGTTCTACTGTAACAAAGTAAACCAGAGTTTTCCAAACTGTGTGGCACAACACGTTAGTGTGTCAGCTGCAGTGTGTAGTAGTGTCATGCAAATGCCGCCCACGCTCTTATAAGGTAGTTTAACCTCCGGTTTGCAAGTAAAACTGAGTTACTGTGTCACAAAATGATGCATGTCTAAAAAGTGTGTCACCAAGATGGAATGCTTGGAAAGCTCTGAAGTAAATGATCACCTTTCTGTCTATCATTTGAAAATCAGGGATTTATAAGAGACCGTGACCTATAGTTTTATGCAGACGTCTTATGTTGAATTTATGGCTCAATTTATGTTTTGTGTAATTATGTAGAAAAGAAACACCCACCTGGATTTCTACTGATGCTGGTCCCACCAGTGCTGCTGGTGTTACTGCACACATTATATTGCAAGCACAAATTGAGTCCCCTCAAAAGTGAAACTAACATGCCACTTAAGACAAGAAAATTGAGTGAGAATGGCTCTAAAATATGTAGGAAAAAACCCATTGTATGGTGTTAGGTATGTCACTAATCTCTTTGTCCTTAAGATTTCCAGCTGCAAAATGGGAGCAAGAGTAACAGCACACATTCGTCTTGAAATTAAGTAACACTGTAAAGCATTGTCCACCCTGTAAGTGTTATCTAAATAAGAAAAACCACACAATGTCAAGTCATCCTGGAAAAAGGGCAAAATTCAATGAAAAATTAACCTCTTTGAATTCCTACCGATCTTTTTCACACACACACACACACACACACACACACACACACACACACACCAATTGCTTTCCTTCTACTTTCCTTCTTGTACTTACAGCCTACAGGCACTTCTGGCTGTCACACATACACTACAATAACAATCAAGAATCTTGTGGCATCTGAAAGAATATCAAATTATGACATAAGCTTTTCATGGACATCAGATGCACCTACACTCCGCTATAAAGACCATAAAGTCTACAACAAAGGCTGCGCCCTTCTGTTTTATGGGACTGCTGGCACATGGAAATTTCAGTTTCATTTCTGACAAGCTACTCTAAATGATGTACAAGTCCGCTCCAACCTTACAATTTCATATATGCTGGCATAGCATAAAAGGGGAGAACTAGGCATTATGCAAAACACAGGAATGCCTCTTAAGGGCAGAGGTCCCATGTCCATTGCCCCACGATGTGGATCAAGGGGTGTGTGTGTGAATGCACAGTATGATGATATCATTACTAAATATTACAGGGGAAAGGAACTCCAGATGTGGCAGCTGTTTTGGGCAGCAGTCCTGTGCTTTGGATAAATTCTAGTTCTACCTGGAGAGACTCCATTCAGTGTGGGTTCTTGGGATACAGAGCCCTAGCCACATTGACTGCAGGCTGCCTTAGAGCCCTAGGGCCTTAACCACCAACACTGTTTTAGGGCAGGGGTCAGCAACCTAAGGCCCATGGGCCAGAAGCGTCCTGTAGAGGTCATTTGACCAGCCCATGAGCTGCCCCTGAACCGAGCTGCCCGCTCACGTGCTGCGCTAAACCGGCGCAGTGCCTCGCTTCCGCGGCACCAAAAATCGCATCTGCGCAGACGCAGACACTGAAAAACGCATCTGTGCAGGCGCATACACCAAAAATCGTGGGGGCACATGCTCATTCGTGGGTGTGCAATCCAGCCCACAGAGAGATCTCTGTGGGACCAATCCGGCTCAGGCAAGATAAACCTTGCTGACCTCTGTTTTAGGGGTTGTTTTTTTAAAAAGCTAAAATACTGTTTCGTTAGATGACATCCATTAACTCAGTTTGGGAGTATAGTTTAATCCCTGCAACATGGAACCAGAAATGCATTCCCAGAACAGGCAACGCACACACTAGCTTTAATGTTTCCTTTCAGTCACATAAAGCTGCCTTAACTACTAGAACTCAACACTCTCTTCCAAGTCCCTGGGCTCAGATAGCTAACAGAAATCTCATTCTCATGGCCTTTTTGGTTTCCATAGAGAGAACTCTGTCCCACTGACTTCAGCGGTGGCTCTGCCAATGCTGATGTTGTTTACAGAAGACCAAGGGGAGAGGGATCCCAAGGAGAGAAGACTTTTGTCCAAGCAGAATGACTGTAGATGTGTAGTACAGGTTCAAGTCCGCTCAGCATGAGTCCATCAGCATGAAATCACTGGGTGGACCTTCAGGAAGTACACCTCTCACCTTGGTGCCCAATATGTAAAATGGGAGGAATATATCATAGCAAAATGAAAACTGTAAAAAGCACTTTCATATAATTAAAGGGACTAGGCAAAGGATTAATACAAAGACTGAATCTTATTCTCCAGCAGAAGCCCAAGCATACAGTCACCTCCCAAGCTCCAGTACATTGTGTGCAGTTCTTTTGCTCGGCCGTCTCCAAACTGTGCGTAACGTACGCATGTGTGTGCGTGTATAAACACCACGCTGAGTTACATTCAGTTTGTGACTTTCTCCAGCCTCTCACTCCTCAACAGTGCACTCAAGGTACTCTTCCCACTTAGGCCTGATTTGAATTTGCTGGCCTCTGCCTGGCACAAATGGGCAACCTAGCTTCCCTCTGGTTTGCCTTCCAGGGCCAGCGGTGTGACAAAGGAAACTCTGCACAGCCTCCTCTCCTGTTCTCCCTCCCAAACCTGCACATTCAAGCCCGATTCTCCTTGGCACCTGCCAATCCCCTTGCACCTGAACCAGGATGTGGACGTTTTACACGTCCCTCCCTCAGCCATGCCCATCCCCTCCTTCCTCCCTTCTCCTCCTGTGTTCCCAGCAGTGCCATACACCTGCCCGGGACTGCGCTCCCTCCCTCCCCCCTCCCCACGTTGCCCGCCCTGGGGCAGCGAAGTGAGAGAGGCAGGTGGGCGGAAAGCGACAGCTGGTGTTGTTCCAGGGAAGGTTTAATGAGCATTGCCTTCCTTCCCTCCCCCTCTCTGCTCTTTGTGCAGCGAGTTGCCCGGGCTGCTGGCTCTAATCAACCCCATTAGCAAGGGCTCTGGTGCTAATCTGGGGGGCTCCTGATGCCCCCCTCTCCCCCCACCCCGCATGCCTGGCTTGCCTTCCTGCCCTGCTGTGTCAATATTTGCCCTGAGCAAATGCAGAGCCCATGACAGGTGTGCAGGGGAGACGGCACTCTCCTGGTGACAACCCAGCCCTCGGGCTCCTCCATGCAGCCCCCCACGCCCTGGCCCCCCTTACTGCCTGCCAAGCCAGAGCTATTTTTATCAGGCCTATAAAAGCCACCGCAGGGCCAGCATCACCCTCATTTTCCACTTGCTCGGCTGGGAAGGTGAGTCCCTCACCTGGAGCTGCCAACGTGTCACTGGAGCCAGGTGAGATGTTCCCAGGCTATTGCTCAGCAATGCCGGGGGGGGGGTGGGCGCTGGGAAGAGGAGACTGGCGGCTGGAGGCTGCCCCAATGGGGGTTTGTTATGGGGGGCTCAACACCTCAAATGCACAGGGGCTTCTGCTGTGCCCCAGGACTATCCCAGGTACTTGGGGAAGTGGGTGGGAGAGAAAAGGGAACCTGCTGGGGCTTGCCTGATTCAGCACTGCACTTCTCTGCCTTCGATAATTTTGCCAGCAAGAGAGAATTTAAGCATATGCAGCTTCTCCCATCAGGGTGGGAAGAGAAGTTAAGCTTGGCAAAATTCTCTCCTCTGTCATTATTTTTAATTGCTTACAGCAACGTGGCTACCCAGTGTGATTCATGAGTCAGAGGAAACGGAATCTGGAATTTCCCTTCTCCAGACAGCATTCGGTCCTACATTGTACTGTTGTAAAACGGTTGGCTATTAAAGGCAAAGAAAACCTATCCCGTACTAAATCTGAGGGTTTAGTTCTGTTTGCCTGCCAGACACGGCCCCTTTTCTTTAATTTGTTTATTGTTAAGTATTTTTTACTCCTGCCCCCATTTTTCTTTTATTTTGCCATTCCCTTCCACCATCCCTTTTCCTTTCCTTTCCTTTCCTTTCCCTTCCCTATAAGCTCTTTTTCTTCCACAGATACCTCGGAGTTCCCTTCCAGGTGATGCTCTGACTGGGATCCCATGTGGCGGCTGGGGCATATTTCGTGGCAGAATGACATGGCAGGAATGGGCTCCTTCACACATCTCCAGTAGCCTGTCCCCAGGCGATTGCTGTGCTTGCCTCGCGTCGAGCCCCACGCACAAGACCTGACGTGAATGTTTTGTTCGTTCGGCTCGCGTTAGGCAGGTCCAGCCTATCTGCAAACACATGGCATGCCTGCGCAGTGGAAATGGGTGGCATGCATGTAGCATACATACCTACATGCGCTGTGTGCTCACAGGGCATCATGTGCATCCTTAGAGCCTTGTACACCTGTGCCCTCCTATTGCTTCAACACCCAGCCTCTGCATCAAGTAAGCTACACTTGGCAATACAGCCTGTCCAGGAAAACAGCCACAGACAGCCTAGGCAACTTTATAGAAGGCTTGGCTTGGCCACCACAAGCCTTTTTCTGAGCATGGCTGTAATGGGATATTTTGAAGTGAGTTGTCAGCCATCTTTGTCTTGCATTACACAGCAGCTATGCTTGAGAAAAGGTTTTATTGAAGGCTGCCAGCACTTGGAGGAATCGTATGTTCAGAAAGACAATGCAATTTACAAAGGACACCTGTAACATTGCTGCCCATTTTGTCCTCTAACTACTTTATCGACCAACTGAATTTTGCCACTCTTGTTACCTTCTTTTAATGCCTTTGACCTCCCACTAATTGCAAGTCCCATTAGGCTCATTTTGCAGAAAGAAACTGAAGCGGAAATTAAACAGTTTGCCCTCCAATCCCAAAGGGATTCTGTGGCAAAACTAGGATTTTAATCTGGCTTTTAAGAGTATTTCCACTGCGCCCATCATTCCCAATGCTAGTTCATCCACATACTCCTGTCCTCGATTATGAGCACTTTGGGTTGGATCTTCTTGGCTGGCTATTTTAGCTGCTTTGTCATATACATAGAAAAAATTGTCATCACGCAGATACTGTGTTCTTTAGCCTTGTTGTAGTACAAAAAAGAACTGCTTTCCATACAGTAATGGGGGGAGGAAACAGAGTGGAATGAAGATGAACACATATGAGTTTTACTCCTTTCACCGAAACAGATTCCCGGGGGGGGGGGGGACCTACTGAAAGAGGGTGCTTGTGTGAGGTTCAAAGAGCAGTCACCAGTCCTTATGTTATGGATACCGAATCAGATTAATATTAAGGGATGCAGTTGTGGGCTGCTCAAAGAAAACTTCTGCCTTCCAGTTGGGAAATCTCCAGCAACAGTTCCTCTGGAAACCTTAGATACTGGAGCACGGATGCATCTCCTCCATATTTACCTGAAAGTTTGGAAGTTACAAGAGAGAAAGAGAGAGAAAGAATTGCAGGGTGAGCTAGGGAGAGTTCTTCTTAGTCCCCAGTAACTTTATCTTTCACATCAGTCCTTGCTACCTCAAGCAGAAACTGGAGAGGAGATTTGCATCCGGGAAGGGAGAGCCAACACAGCCTAGCTTCAGTTTTGAATAAAAATTACCTGTGAGCCAGCTATTTTGGGAATAGCCAGGGTGCAGCGATAAATTTGCTTATCACCAGGGATGAGAAAAGATAACCAAAGAGGGCAACAATTCTTATGTGGTCTATGTAAGAAAAGTGCTGCTACTGCTATGGTAAAAAATGAGGAAGAGTGACTCCAGTAAAGACTCCAAATGAGTTTTAGGAATCACATTTTGAACTTGACTATCCAAATCTCCAATCCTATGCACACTAACCTAGGACAAGGACCAAGTCCCATTGAATTTAATGTGTCTTACATCTGAGTATACATGACATAGATTGTACCATAAATCTGTTGAATTAAGGGACCTTACTATGAACAATCATAGCTGCCCATGAATTGTGCACTTTCCAGATGCTCTCCTTGAATCCCAGCTATTTAAATGAATAAGCAAGTACTGTACTGTATTTTTTTTAGCTGCATTAACATTTTAACTTTTCACCAACCAAAAGTGGGTAACAATGGTTTGTTGACCCTAATTTCCATCTTGGATATTTTGTTTTTGTTTCAGACATAATTCAGCTCTAAACAAAAGGTACCCTGCAGCAAAAATCATACTTTAGAAATCAACCAATTTTTTGTATATATTAAGACATCTTCATGTGGACAAATTTGCATTTACAAAAGGTTTGCTTTCCCCCAAAGCCCTTTTTTTTCAAACACATAAACAAGATAACTATCAGTTTCAAATGCACCAATAAGCAATTTTTGACTATAGAACACACATGAATATTTTAGCAATCACAACCATGTGAATTACTCAGCTTTGACAGAACTTCTTCAAAAGAAGATTGCCAATCTTTACCTGGCAGGGCTTTTCTGCTTTTGAACCGCTAGGTAACAAACAGAAATCCAGCAAATTGATGCTTTTTCCAGCATCAAATAATGGGGAAAGTTTCCTCTGCCTGGTAAGAAAATTTTTCCACCAGCCCCAGTAACTGTGCTTTTAAGATAACTTGACGTGCAGATGTTAGTCAGTTATACTATTTTCCCTCAATGCCGTGAAAAGCCTCATTTGCTGATTTGTCCCTATCAAGCTGCTGTTACAGGCACAGAAGCTGGCCAAGTAGTTTCTTTTTGGTGAGTGTGTTTGTGCTTCAGAGATTTAATATGTATGATCCAACTGGCAGAACTCCTTATAAAATCATATTTACTGGCTACCGGGTTTGGTTCACTGGTCACAATGCAGGTCCACAGGATATTAGCTCTATGGTATCCACACTGTATAGTAGGGTTGCCAGCATTCTCGACTGGAGACAGTACTTAAAACTTTGCCTCACTACACCAAGAGAAGATACAGCAACCACACAGCCTTCTCTTTTCTTTCACAAATCCCTTCACCTATCCTCTTTCCTGTCTACTATTCTGTGGCCATCAGGAACCATAAATTAAACTCAAAACCAGCAAGGAAGGGGTGTAAGAGGAAGAACAGGTTGGAAAGCACAGAAGTTGCAGACGACTCAGGACCTTGCTGCAGCCTTCCTCAATCTGTTGCCCCCCAGTTGTTTTGGAATACAACTCCTATCAGTCCTAGCCAGCATGGCCATAATCACAGTGCAAAACATCTGGAAGGCAACATGGTTGGGTGCCTTACACCAATTAATAGTACAGACATTATACCTCGCAATGAGTTTGGAACCTTACTGGAGAGCATTCATAGATCTTTACTCTGCACTTCTATTTAATCTACATATTAAAATGACATGTTGTCAAGAACATAAGAAGGCCAGGCCAAAGGTCCTGCTGGATCAGGCCAAAGGTCTATCTAGCCCAGCATCATGTTATCACAGTGGCCTATAGAAATCCACAAGCAAGACCTGAACACAACAGCACCTTCCCATATAATTCCCAGCAATAAGTATTCAGGAGTGTTAGAAAATCAGATATATAATCTAATTGCCAAACGGCACCTTAAATATAGGTTGTGGTCACCACAATGGAATGTCTAGGCATGCGTTTTGGGGATTTTTTTGTAGTGAGGTTTATTATTATTATTCTTTTCATTTCTATACTGCTTTATATTTTTTAAAAAAACAAATCTCAAAGCGGTTTACAACACATTAAAACATCAAACCAAACAATCAAGAATAAAACAAATTCAAGCTTCAAGGAAAATATTGCAGATCCTTCTCTAAGTGACATTTTGCTTCCCCCAGTTGCCAATCTGGCATCTAGAGATCTCCACGTGGTCGCAATTGGACCTGTACTAGTTGCAAAATGTACCTGGTGCCTGACTGATTTCTAACACTGATTCAGAGACATATTGCCACAACAAATGGATGTAGAAATATAGCCATCCTCAATTAATTTGTCCAATACTCTCTTAAAGCCATTCATGTTTGTGGGCATCACTACTACATCCTGAGGCAGCAGAATCTATTGTTTTACAACATGCTGTGTGAAGAAGTACTTTCCTTTGTTCAGAATTTTCCAGCATTAGAGGGTGCACCTCCACAGGCACATACCTCCATGTGGTGGGAGTGCCCCAAAATCCAACTATTCTGGACAACAGCCATACGAGAAATATGTAAAATAACTAAGCAAGTATTAGACATCACCCCAGAATTGGCCCTACTTAAACGTCTTCCAAGGCAACAATGCCCACTTACACCACAAAGAACTCATAACCCACCTGCTCTCAGCAGCCAGAAACACCATAACCAGACACTGGAGAGACCTGTCAGGAGTAAGCATGGACCAATGGTACCAAATAGTATGGGAAACAGCCCTACTAGAAAAATTAACTAATAAACTGAAATGGGGACAAACAGAAGATGACGCCCCTTTATCACATACACATATGGCTCCCCTTTATCACATACACAGCCCAACAAGACAATGACAATAATTCACCAACAGCATACAAATCAATATGGCTAACCTGATCCAAAACACCCACCCACCCCACTCACACAAGAAAACAAAGATCACCACAGCCAATCACAAACAAACAACCACACCCTAGGCCAACCCCAACCTCTCTCACCATCAAAAGAACACAAGTGAACAGCAGAGAACCTGCACGAGCAACGCTGACACCAAACCCTACATACATTAAGCAAAACAGAAACAGCGTCACCCAACCCCACCCATCTTCCACCCCTCCACCCCTTTTTTTCCTAATATCTCAACAAATGAAACTGATTTGTAAAAATGTTACATGGAAAAAATATGAGAGACATCACACATACTTCTGTACATCAAGAAAATCTTTAATAATAATAAAAGCATTTTCCAGCATTCAGCTTAGATAAAATGGCCCTGATTTTGATTTCTAGTATTACGAGGCAGAAAGACTTCTCCTTCATTAAGAGGAAAATTACCACAAAGTACAGCATGAACACCATGGTAACAGTTCTGCAGTTAAGACAGCAAAAACACCACTTACATATGTATCAACATTTACATGTTAATGGGTACCACTTAAATGAGACACCCCCCTTTCAAACTCATGGGTTAGATGAAAATCACCATCTGTATAATTAAACCTTCTCAGGAAGTTCATTCACCCCATTCAAACAAAACATTTTCTCCTTCCCCAGAAATGGCAGTGAGTCAGAGCTCAACAGGTGGGTATTAGAAAATAGCAGTTACAATACTATTCAGAAAAAGAAACAAAAAGAAATAAAAAGCTGTTGGTCACTTCAAATATGCTAATAGC